AATAAGGAAGACCAGAGAAGAATTGATGCCTTTAAATTATGCTGTTGGTGAAGAATATTGAATATAACATGGACTGCCAAAAGAACGAACAAATCTGTCTTGGAAGAAGTACAGCCAGAATTGCTCCTTAGAAGCAAGGATGGTGAGACTACGTCTCATATGCTTTGGACATGTTATCAGAAGGGATCAGTCCCTGGAGAAGGACATCATGCTCGGTAGAGGGTCAGCGAAAAACAAGAAGACCCTCCAGGAGATGGATTAACACAGTGGCTGCAACAATGGGCTCAAGCATAACAACAATTGTGAGGACGGCACAAAAGACAAATCTCTTGATAAGGAGCCCCAGTGGCTCAAATGGTTTGCACTTGGTGACCAACTGAAAGGTTGGCAGTTCGAATCCACCCAGTGGAGCCACGGAAGAAAGCCTTGGTGATCTTCTTCCATTAAGATTACAGCCAAGAAACCCTACTAAGCCCTAGTTAGGTGGGGTCTTAAAAACTTCCGAGCGACCATCTAAGATACAACTATCAATCTCTTCTCATCTGGAACAAAAGAGAAAGAAGGAAACTAAAGACTCAGAGAAGAAACTAGTCTACAGGACTAACAGTCTACACTATGGCCTCATCTACCCTGACACCATAAATAGTTGGCACCCAGCTACCACTAACGACCGTTCTGATCAAGGGCACAATAGATGGATCCTGATAGAAGGGGAGAAAAATGTGAAATAGAACTCAAATTCTCAAAAAGTCCAGACTTACTGGACTGGGTGAGACTAGAGGATTCCCCTAGACTATCACCCTGAGATACCTCATAAACCTTGAACTGAAACTACCCTCTGAGGTCACCTTTTAGCTAAATAACAGATTCACTCATAAAATAAAGAATATTACCAGTGAGAACTGAACACCTTCAAAAAATCATCTATGTGAGACCAAATGGTCAACAATTACTCTAAAGCAAAGATGAAAGGGTAAGAAGACAGCGAAACCAGATTACTGGAAGTGAAACATTGACATTGGCATTAATGAGAATGTTAACACATTGTGAAAATGTAACCAATGTCACTGTACAATTTGTGTAGTAATTGTTAAATGGGAACTGAATTCACTATGTAAACTTCCACCAAATGCACAATAAAATATTATTTTTTTTTAAAAATCCTATAGCTCAGTTCTACTCTGTAACACATGGGGTTGACATGAGTCAGAATCAACTCAATAGCAATGGGGTTTTTTATTTGTTTGTTTTTAATCTCTTAATTTGTCCCCTACACAAGGACACCCTCAGAGACCCAGGCCCAACCTAAGCCCCAGCCCACAGGAAGAGCAGCTTGTGCTTGGGGATCAATGATCTCTTCCATAAGAAACTGAGGCAAACCAAACTTAACTGCAAGGGCTGTGTGGCCAACATAAGAATCACTATGACTGCAACAGAAGGCTCCAGCAGCCATACCTGAGGTCTACCGATCCAAACACTTCTTACACCTCCATTGCTAAGCCACCATTACCAGACAGCCTAGAAAGTATTCTAGGTTGCGGTAGCAATACCATCCTAACTAGCCTGTCCCAGCTAGTCAAACAGCCAGAGAGCCTGGTAAAATCATTCAAATCATGTCATTCTGCTCAAAACCTCCAACAACTTCCATCCCACTCACAGACCCTGTGACCACCTATGACCTTGTACTCTGCCCAAACCCCTTGCCAACTAGACCTCATCAGCAGTGCAGTGGGTTTCTCTTATACATGGCCTTTCTGGTCTTGGGTTTATAATTCTGCCAAAATAATTGGCTAGGCTACAATCTTGCAAAGGAATTGGTCTACTATGCAAACAGGATGTATAAAACCACCCAATAGAATTAAGTGACCTTGTGGGAATTGGTCAATTACTATGCAGATTAAGTGATTGTAGTCTTGTAGTAGGATGGATCACTTTTGCATGGCCTTTCTTGCCATGGTCTTACAACTTCCACTCAAGTGACAGAGTGTGACTGTGCAAATAAGGTGACTGTGGCCCACCAAGGGGATTAGTCAGTTTTCCCATCTTGCTAGGCTTAAAAGAGAGCTGTCTCAGTTATCTAGTGCTGCTGTAACAGAAATACCACAAGTGGATGGCTTTAACAAACAGAGGTTTATTCTCTCACAGTCTAGCAAGCTAGAAGTCCAAATTCAGGGCATCAGCTCCAGGGGAAGGTCTTCTCTGTAGGCTCTGGAGGAAGGTTCTTGTCATCAATCCTCCTCTGGACTAGGAGCCTCTCCATGCAGGAATACTGGGTCCAAAGGATGTGCTCTGCTCTTGGCGCTGCTTTCTTGCGGTATGAGGTCCCCCCGTCTCTCTGTTCACATCTCTCTTTTATATCTCAAAAGAGATTTGCTCAAGACACAATCCAATCTTGTAGATTGAGTCCTGCCTCATTAACATAATGACCGCCTATCCCACCTCATTAACATCATAGAGGTAGGACTTACAACACATAGGAAAATCACATCAGATGACAAAATGGTGGACAATCACACAGTACTGGGAATCTTGGCCCAGCCAAATCGACAGATATTTTGGGGGGACACAATTCAATCCATGAGAGCCAATTCCAGAGAGGAGCTCACCACACCAAGGAAGAACATCCAGGAGCAGAGCGCATCCTTTGGACCTGGAATCCCTGTGCTGAGTAGCTCCTAGAACCAGGAGACAGAGAAGAGAGTTGTAATACTGAAGACAGCAAGAAGCGGTGGCAGAGAAACAGAAGCAGGAGAGACCAGCAGGAGAAGGTATGGTGGGCTTCCCAGCCTGCGGAGCAAGAAAGCTGAGTGCCTTCGAATAAGAGGCTCGCTGGCGGAGCAGGGTGCCTCTGGGCACTTAGTGAAACTAGGTTTGCTGCCCATGGAGCTAGAGCTAGAGTTGAATGCCTTTGGGCCAATGCTTACTGGCAGAGTAGGGTACCTCAAGCATTTATCAGCAGAGCTAAAAGAGCTTTGTAACACTTGCCTGAGCAGGGCAGACACCAGGCGAGGGGCCAGAGAAAGACGTGCCTGTGAGCATGGCTGAGGAGAGGCTGTCCTGATGGAAGAACTGTATCCTGAGCGTTCCTGAACCCCAATTGTCACCTGTTACTTACTTCCCTAATAAACCCCATAATCGTATTGTCTGAGTTCTGTGTGGCCATTACAAAGAATTATTGAATCCAGCAGAGAACTAGAGTGCCATGGGAGGGATGATTGGTGTCACAATTGGTAAAGATGGCAGAGAGACGAGGCGTGTCGGACTGCTGCCTCACAGGAATCAGCTGTGGGCTGTTGATCTTGATTCTCCTTCCCCCTTGTGAAGAGAGAGGTCAGACGCCACCCCCACACCATTTTTACAGGCCTCCCAAGGGGATTTGTCAGTTCGTTGCGGGTCATGCCTTGAAATTGATACGGAGCTTACTTATAAGCAGCCACCCCGACAGTTTTAAGAGACATAGGCACGGTGAGAGAGGGGAAGGGAACTCCTACAAGAGTTGTAACACAGGTCAAGAATTGTAACACTGAAGAGGGTGCAAGAAGGCACCAGCAGACAGCTGCGGTGGGCTGGACGGCCCAGGGAGAGACAGCCAACTGCCTTTGGGCAGGAGGCTTACTGGCGGAGCAAGTACTTGTTGGCAGAGCCAAAAGAGCTGTTAACACTTCCACCAGCAGGGCAGAGGCCTGAGAGGGGCCCAGCAGAGGGCACAGCCAAGAGAAGGCCTGCCTGCCTGCGGGCATAGCTAAGTTGAGCTGTCTTCGTTGGAAGCTGTCCTGTTTGAAGAACTGTATCCTGTTACTTCCAACCTGATCCTGATCCCGGGTTGTAGCCTGTTACCCGTTGCCGTCGATTCCGCCATAGGAATTCTGCCCCATAGGGTCTCCACGGAGCTGCTGGTGGATTCGAACTGCCAACCTTTCGGTTAGCAGCCAAGCTCTTTAACCACTGTGCCAGCAGGGCTCCTGTAGCCTGTTACTTCCCTAATAAACCACATAATCGTGAGTATGGTGAGTTCTGTGTGACCACCGCAACAAATAATCAAACCCAACGGAAAAGCAGAGTGCCATGGGGAGGACAGCTGGTGTCAGAAACGGTGAAAAGGTTGGAGAGTGGAGGTATGACCTTCACTTCATAGGAATCAGCTTTGGGCTGATCTTGATCCTCATCCCTTCTAGTATACTATATCATCCCTCCCTCCCTTGTGCTCTCATTCCTCACAAGCTCCCACCCCAGGGCCCTTGCACTAGAAAGCTTTCCCCATCCACCAGTCTTGTTAACAACTCCCTCATTTCAGGCCTTCTATTCAATGACTGCTTCCTGTGAAGTTAGCCTCCTCTAGCCCCCATCTCAAACGCTCTCCACCCTCAAATACCCTACCCTCCTTTCCCTGCTTTACTTTTCCTCTTTGAGGAATATCATCACATCCACCACACTATATATTTCATTCGTCCAGTTTCTTGTCCATCTCCCCACTAGAATAAGGAGATAGGGATTTTTGTATCTGGTTCCCTGCTGTAACCCACGGCCTGGCATAGTTCCAGGCACATCTTGAGTGATCAATACAGTTTTGTGGAATGAATGACCTCTGGTACATTCTAAAAGCCAGGCCATCCCACCCTTACTCCCTGAAAGGCCAAGTCTGCAAAAACAGGAAAACTGACCGCTCTCGGCTGGAGACCCCTGTTGAGGGAGATACAAAAGTGGCAGCGAGATCCAAGACCTCCAGGCGAGCACCCTGGCCCTGCCTGAGGGAGGAGGTGTGGACATTTGTCCTAACCCTGACACCTCCTTGCTGTTAGCACCTTGGCAGGCCCTTTCCGCTCTGGGCCTTGTTCCATCAAATGAATAACGAAGCAGCTGGAGCAGACTCCAGTATGAACCCCTCTGGCAGGTGCACTGGGGGGCAGGTCCAGGACAGCCGAGGGGGAGAAGAAGACAATACCTCACCAGTCAGGGGTGACTTTTATTTGAAGCCAGAAAAAACCCTACTTTGGGGGTCACCTAACATCTGTAACAATAAAAAAAAAGGGCTTGGGAAGGAAAGAGAAAGGGGTCCCGATCAGGCTGGGGGTCAGGCCACGGAGGGGAAACTGAACAGCAGCCCTTCATTGGGCTCCAGGTTCAGTTGTTGCAGCTCAAGGGAGACGCCCTCCTTCCGGCCCGGCTCAGTGCTGAGCAGGAGTTCAGCCTTGGCTGGCAGGCTGGCACTGCTAGGCAGGCTGTCAGCCTCCAATGTGGCCGGGACACGCACGTTCCCAAAGTTGAGCACTACCAGGAACCGGTTGTTCTGGTCCCACTGGCGGACGTAGGAGAAAAGGCCAGTCCCTGAGGAGAGTGCATGGAAGTCCCCGTGCAGCAGGGCACGCTCCTTGCTCCGCAGGCCACTCAGCTGCCGGAACAGGGAGAGGAGGGAACCAGGGATTCCATCTTGGCCCTGCAAATGATGAAGACAGAGCAGAAGGCATGAGGGTCTTGTGGGTGCAGACACCTACAAGCCACCTGCCCACCCTCCGCTGGTCAGGCCCTGCCCAAACCCTTACCTTCACAGTCATGTTGGCGCTTACTGATCCAGAACTCGGTCTGGAGGTGCTGAGGAAGCTGGATTCATTCCACAGCATGACCGGGGCCTCTGCAGGCTGGAAGCAGTGAAAACAGGACTTGGACAAGGCCTGGGGCCTGCTCTCCCTCCCTCCTGCTCCCACTCCCACTCCCCTCAATGCACACCTTCCCCACCTTGTGCCTGAATAACGTGTACTGGACAAATGAGGCAGGCTCCCATCTCCAGGTCCTTGCACATACTGTCCCCTCAGCCTGAAGGGCTCTTCTCCCAGACAGCCACCCACTTAGCATCCTCACTTCCTCCAGGTCTCTGCTCTGTTGTCTCTCCAGGTTTTCTGTGCCCACTCGTGTAAAGTCTATCCCATCCCCTATTCTCTAGGCCCCATCCTACTTCCCTTTACACAGCACTTATCAGTACCTAGCATCTTTAGTATGTTTGCTTATTATCTAATTCCAGCACCTCCGGCTCTTCTGTGCATTGCTGTATCCCTGGTGGTTGGCACACAGGCATTACCCAGAATTTGTGAAATAAATGAATGACTAACGACTGGCCCTATAAATACCAGCTCGGGCATCAACCTCCAACCCCCTGGCTAAAGCTAAGTGAGTGCCTTCGTGGTATTACCCTACCCAGTACTCACTGCCACATTCTTACCCACTTACTCATCTGGCTCCCTCACTAAACTATGAGCTCTGGAGGGTACAGAGCCTAACAGAGTACCCACTATCGAATGAGTGAATGAAGGAATGCTATCATATTGACAACCTGTCAGGCGCCACAATGTATTTAAAAATCTGCCTTCATTTAATCCTAACCGTTCTGCCAAAAATGTAGTATCACAGAAGAGATTATCACGAGTCAGAGAGGTGAAGTAACTTGCTCAAGGCCACACAGAACCAACCAGGCAGCTGACTAGGAATGAAACACAGTTCCGCCTCAAGGCTCATGTCTGCCTGTCTCATCCACAGAACCATCATCATGATGGGTGAACACAAACTCCTCTACTGTGCTGGGTGGGCAGTAAGCAGTACCTGTCCCGGAAGGGCAGCCGCCTCCAGGCCAATCTCATCCCCATAGCTGAAAATGGGGGTCCCCGGCAGGGTGAAGAGCAGCAGCTGGTAGAGTCGGAGAAGGGAAGCTGGCACAAAGGAAGTCAGGAGACCAGCCTGAGACAACTGCAGGAACAGAAACACTGGTGAGCCCACAGCCTCTATCTCCCAACACCCGCTTCCTGCAAAAGGTCTCCCTCCCTCCACCATGGTACTCACACTCCAGCTGCACCAGTGATTGCCAGCAGCATTCAAATACTCGGTGACTAGGGGTTTTGCATGCTCCTTAGTAAAGCCAGCGCTTGACAAGTATGGGCTAGTCAACAACAGGTCCTCGGTAGAGTTGAGCAGCTTCAGGATCTGCTGAAGGTCGGAGGAGTCAGTCCCTGCAATCAAGAGCCTACAGAGGGCAGGGCAGGGGTCAAGGTTGGTGTAAGACAGGAAAGAAAGAACGTTGGTGAAGAAGGTTCTCTGGACTAGGAACCACCCCTTCCTGGGGCCTAGTGCTCCACTGAGGGAGGGGTTCCCACAATGGAACTGAGCTGGAGAGGAGGTAGCCAGGCACCCACCTGTCTTCACTGAAGTTCTGGGTAATGTTCTGCCACTTAGCCAAGTACGTGGACGCATTCTAGAAAAAAGAAGGCAGAGTCAAGGAGCAGGAACACTACCAGGCCCTGGTGGAGGCCCTCTGGTCTCACCCAGGCTCTGCCTCCCACGAAGAAAGGAAACTCACTGTCAGATTCTCCACGTAGCGAACCTGGAACCCATCCACACCAGCCTCCAACCAAAACTTCAGAGCAGCCTAGAAGGGGGCCAAAGAATAGAAGAAAGATATCAATGCCCTGATGCAAAGGCTTTTAAGGTTCCAGCTCACACTCAACTTCACACTCATCATGGACTCCCCCATGACCTGGAGACAGTCACTTCCTGGCCTGGGTCTCACTTCCCCCATCTCTATTACAAAGACTTAGCCTTTGGTTCCCTCCAACTCTAATCTCCCATTGATTCTCTTAGTGCCAAAGCATTTTACTTCTCTATTCCTCCCTCTGGCAAATCATAACTTTGACAGCTACAAAAAACCCCAACAGAAAAAGGACATTCATACACATAACTCATGTAACATTTAGCACATGAAACAGCAGTATACCCATTTTAGAAATGAGGAAAGAGGCTCAGAGAAGTGAGGAGACATGCCCAGTGGGCAGCAGAGGCAGGACCTCTGATGTTTAATTTTATGTGTCACCTTAGCTAGGCAATGGATCACAGTTGTTCGACCAAACACTAGTCTAACTGCTGTCATGCAGTAGTTACATGTGATTAAAATCAGTTGGCGTTAGGCAGAGCAAATTTCCTTCCATTATGCCAGCTAGTATAACGCAATCAATCAGCTGAAGTCATACCAGTGTGGGTGGGTCCTAAACCTAATCATACTTGTGAGTTTTTTTTTCTTTTATGGTATTTTAGATGAGGGTTTACAGAGTAAATTAGTTTCTTATTAAATAATTAATACACATATTGTTCTGACACTGGTTGCCACCCCCACATGTCAACACTCTCCCCTTCTCAAGCTTGGGTTCCCCATTACCAGCTTTCCTGTCCCCTCCTGCCTTGTCATTCTTGCCCCTGGGATGGTGTGCCCATTTAGTTTCATTTTGTTTTATAGGCGCGCGCGCGCGCGTGTGTGTGTGTGTGTGTGTGTGAGTGAGTTAGAATTTTGTTCTACATTTTTCTCCAGCTCTGTCTGGGATCCTCTATTGTGATCCCTGCCAAAGCGGTCAGTGGTGGTAGCCGGGCACCAACTTTGGAGTTCTAAGAAGACCAGAATAAACAGACACACACACAGGAAAGACGTGAGAGGATCGTCTACAAGCAAAAACAACGCCAAGGATCACTGGCAGACACCAGAACTAGGGAAGAGACTCACAGAAGGAATAGACACCGACTTGGACTTGTAACCTCCAGAACTGTGAGAAAATAAATTTCTGCTCTTAAAAGCCACTCACTTGTGGTGTTGTGTTACAGCAGCACCAGGGAACTAAGACAGAATTCAAAATGTCAGTCTCAAGATGACAAGACAATTGTACTTTCCTCAGGCCAGGGGAGGGTGTGAGTAAAAAGCCTGACCCAACAGGCCAAGGATGAAAGATTGAAATTGGAAGCATAGCCCCAAGGCAGTTCAGATGAAGGCTTGAAAAGAGGAAGCCAGCTCTGCAGAACAGGCCCAGGTCTGAATGCTCTGGCACACACCCTGGAACCCCACCTTCACTGCACCTTTTCTTCCTTTTCTTTCACTGCTCCATGTACTCTCTCCTCTTGTCTCCATCTTTCTCTGAGGCTACCACCTCTCACACCATACCATCTGAAATATTCCCTTATCAGTAACTTGTAGAGGGTCTTCCAACCATTGGCTAGGGCTAAACTGGATAACCCCAAGGGTCCTACCCAAATGCTGGAAATTCAAGGTCAGAATCATAGCGGCCAGGAAAGTGTCTGAGTCTGCCTCCATTTCTTTTCTACCAATTCTGAACTGGTCAGTGTCCTAGAACCCAGGCATCAGGAGCTGGGGTGACGTTCAAAGCCCCACTCCCAGCCTGCTGAGTAGAGTTTGAGCCTATACCTTAAGGTAAGGGAGACTGGAGAAATTGACTAATTGAGACTTCAAAGCCTTTACTAGCTGAGAGACCCTGGGCACACTAGGCCCGTCTGAACCTTAGCTTCCTTGTTTACAAATTAAGGATGATGACAGATACCATCTGTGGTCATATAGGAGACTGAAAAATGTATATAAAATACTTGGCACAGTCCCAGATACACAGGAAGCCCCAGTACTTACAATTTCACACTGAGCTCCACCCAAAATACATCAAACAAGAACTGGGAAATCAGTCAGGGCAGAATTCCCACATAGAAATGGCTTCCTTTCCCCAAAGGAAGGAAAGTCAAACTTTTAGACTCACATCTGAGATATTCCCTTCCTGGCACTGTCACCCTCAGAGTCAAGGAAACAAGAAAACTGAGTTGTCTGAAAAGGAACAAGAAAAAATGGGGGTACTGCTGGCCTATCCTTCCTGCTAAGGGAGGAGGCATTCCTGCTTGGCTCCAAGAAGCAAGGGGCCCCTCAGCAGGACCCAGACTAAGTATACAGGGCTTGCTGAGAAAGGACCAAGACGGCCCCAGCATCTGGCTCCCATCTGCCACCAGCCCCAACACACTCACCTGCATCTGCGTGTCCACAGTGTCAACCTGAGTGGGGAGGAACCATGAGTTCTGGCCCCTGTAGTTGGGAGTGAGGTCCAGAATGACCCGGATGCCTGGAACAATGGAGGAAGAGGCAGTTGTGAGAAAGACTCTGAGTGAGGGGAAAGGAGGAAACAACACACTGCAACTCTGCTGAATGTTTCCTATGCATTACTTGGTACAAAAGCTTGGATTTGAATCCTGACAAAACCCATTCGTTTGGAACACAGATGTAAGCAAGGAAGGGTCTTAAGATCCTGTAGTGCTGATGTGAGAGAAGGCTGAGCTGTGGGGCCCTGGGCTCCCCCCTCCAAATGAACCCTTTCTAAACACTTTTCTCTATACTGAGCTGTAAGACTATATCTCATTAGGGTTTGTTTTTTTTTTTTTTTTTAAAGGATCCAATACTTTACAAGATTAAAAACCACTGATTTAGTGTAAAAGAAAAAAAAAAAGCCTACATTTTGCAAATAAGGACACGCAAACCCAAAAATTAAATGCTCGGCCAAGTAGAAAGTCTTGAATCACTTGAGAAATCCACCTTCCAACCTAACACACTTCCCCAGCTCTGGCCCTGAGAACCCAGAGCCCACCAGACAAAAATCTTATCCTGTCTGTCCTCTGGCCACAAGGCCAGGCTTTCTAGCTGCTTCCTTGTCAACCCCAGGACACCTACTCTTTTTTTTGGCCGACTGCAGGAGACTTTCAAAATCTTTGTTGGAGCCAAAAGCAGGGTCAATCTGCTGTAAGTTGGTCTCAGCCAGATCATCCTTCTGGTTGTTGTGAACTGGGCCCAGCACAATGCCCTTCACCTTCAAGGTGCTCACATAATCCAGATACTCAGTCAGGCCTGAAATGAGAAGGCAGGGTGAAAGTAAATCCCCTCCGAGAGTCCTCTGATTCCTCTATTCCAAGGGGTGGGGATGGGTTTAGGCTGGATCACGAGACACAGATAAGCTGATGTAATAAGCCTTGTATATTGCTACTGAAACAGGCTGTGACTGGCTCCTGGGGCCGCCAGGGAAGAGAGGATGATGAGTCAGCCACAATCGAAAAAGGGGGTCAGGGGATGACAGTTCTTCTCAAAGCGGAAAGGGACTATGACCCTAGCAGTCTTTGAAGGCACTGAGATGGGTGAAAAGGAGGGGAAGCGTGTAGCCTGTCCAGACTAAACCAAAGGTGGGAGGGATTAAACCAGAGGTTGAAGGGGGGGGGGTTTAGGGATAAAACCAAAGGTGGAGGGATTAAACTAGAGGCCCGAGGGTAGGGTTTAAACCAGTGACTGCAGGAGAGGGGCTTGTCCTCACCGGTTAGTTTGCCCGCCTCCTGGGCCTGGAAGGCCTGAATGTCGCCGATGCGGTAGAGGGCGCCCTTCTGCCACCATCTCTGCGTGGGCAACTGGCGGCAGCGTGGTGCCTGCACAATGATGACCACGGCACCCGCCAGCATGCCCAGCCAGCCGAGCCAGAAGAGCACCAGCAGCACCCAGCGGGTGCGCACCCAGCTGGGGCTGCCCGCCACCTTTAGCAGCTCCTCCTTAGACAAGCCGGTGAACTTGGCCTCCTCCGCCTCGTTGTCAGGCACCTTAATCTTCACTAGACCGTTCTTCTCGGCGTCGCTAGCCGCGGCCACGGTCGCCCCCGACGCCGCGTTCATCGGCTGCTTCTCAGGCTCCAGCTCGTTCAGCTCCACCTCTTTCATGTCCACCTCGGTGTCTTGGCTCATGGTGCCTGCGGAACCTGGGACAAGAGAAGCAGCCTGCGCTCAGGTAGTGCCCGAGAAGGCCCCGACCTCCCGGTCCCGGACACGTCTCCAAACAGGTCTCCCGCCTACTAGACTCCGCCGCTTCTGCCACAAGGACTGTGGCGGTCAGCTTGGGGAGCGCCCCGAGAAATTAGCGAGGGAGCTCCGCCCCAGCCCGCCCCTTAAGGAGGAACCTCGGGAAGGCTCTTTCCCGAGCCTGGGCGAGTCGGGTGGGCGGCAGAGTGCCAGAAGGGGAGAGTGCCAGAAGGGGAATAATGGTGGGAACACGCCTGCGAATACGAATACGGAGGAATATGCAGCACTGTCAATCCTTCATCTCAAATTGGTCTACCCACCCCTTAAGCAATTTCGATGAGCTGCTGGGATGGCTGAGCGGAGACACCTTTAAGTGGGCGGAGTCTGTAATTTATACACCCTGATCCCCCACGGGTCTACCCCCTCCCACCACCAGGAAGTCAGGGTGGGGGTGGGGGAATCCGGCACCGCCAAAGCGGCCCTCGCCCAAGCTGAAGGCTGGTGACTTCCCCCATACCATCCACCTTTTGCCCCTGACCCAAGCCACCTCCTGGACTTTCCAATTTGTCACAGCCACTATTACTCCCCGCGCCAGCTAGACCCAACTTCTTCCCTTTCACCCACCGGCTTGGTCTCTGGGCCTCTGGAACTTGGCACTAGGTCTCCGCTTCTCCGCAGGGCTTACTCCCTCTCGTCCTTCAAGACTCAAATTTTAGTTCAACTAATTCATCATGCAACAAATATCTATGAGCACCCACTACAGGACTCTGCTCATTAATTTCACTGAATTCTCTAACCCAGTCTTCCCATGATATTTTAAGATTAATCTGTCTGGGCAGGAGAGTTGAGATTGACACTCCCCCCTTCTTACCCTACCCCACACCCACTTTCTGGTGCCAGGATGTCAGGCAACTAGGAATCAGACATCCAGGAGAGAGTGATGGGCAACCTCAGGATGACCAGGGCTGTAGCAAATGTTCCAGAGGTGGGCCTCAGCTAGAGGCATCCATCATTTTCCTAGAAGACTCTTCCCCTACTTTGCAGGGCCTCCCACAAATTAACCCAAACTCCCCAAGGAGGCCCACCACCCATCTGTCACTGTGGCGGCTTGTGTGTTGCTATGCTGCTGGAAGGTATACTACCAGTATTTCAAATACCAGGGTCACCCATAGGGAACAAGTCTCAGCGGTGCTTCCATACTAGGACAGACTAGGAATAAAGGCCTAGCAATTTCCTTCCAAAAAGTAGCCAACGAAAACCCTATGGGTCACAACAGAATATTGTCCAGTATAGTGCCGGAAGAGCCCCCTCCATGGGAAGGCATTACACAAAAGCCACAATAACGGACTCAAACATACCAATGATCATGAAGATGGCGCAGGACCAGGCAACATTTCATTCTGTTATATGTAAGAATACCATGAGCTGGAGCCAACTCAACAGCAACCGACAACCACCACCACCACCACCCCAGGACGCCAGGGTCCCCTACCTCCCCATCACTTCACTATGCTAGGCCTTGGAGGCAGCTAGCTCTGCAGACGCCTTGAAGACCTCCCAAATTCACTTCACAAAGGTCCTTGGATAGATGGTAAGTGGGACAGAGACAAGGTTCACAGTGGGGACTCACCAGACATGAACACTGTGATGTGCCAACGCTCTCAGGAACTTTTTGTTCCTGAGCAGTGCCAGCTGGGTTATTTTCAGAGAAGAGCTGAAGGAAATAAGCTCTTTCTCCCTCTACCTAGGCTGGAAGCCAGGATGGCTGTGTATTTGGAAGAAAGCAAAAGCCAAGATCTGAAGTAATGGTAGACAGAAAGAAGGGCCAAGGGTGTGAAAACGTTCATCCTCTTTCAGCCTCCCAAAGCCCGTACTCCACCCACCCCAGGAAAGTTAGAACCAACTCCCAGGGGAAGACAGGCAAGCGTTAGAGATTGGGGTTCCGACCAGTGCTCGAAGATGATAAAAGGTCCAAGGTACCCTGGGCATGCCAGATAACAAGTGCCAACCAGAGCCTCCAGACAGACTTTATCCCCAGCATAAAGACTGGAGGTGGAAAACTGAGAACTGTGGGGTCAGCAGCTCTCCTTGAGACAAACCCACATAACACTCCCTAAGAGCATGACATCTCACTCACAGCCCTCCATGGCTCCAGATGGATGAAGCCAATTCCTTCGACTCACAGTAAAGACGCTAACACTCTCCACCCCCACCCCCCAAAGCTTCTCACCCACCACACCTTCTGCTCCAGCTATATCAGCCTTTAAACATCTACCAGTCTCACAACACATCAGGCGTTCTCAGGCCTCTGCATCTTTGTACAGGCCATCCCCTCTGCTGTTTTGCCTTTCCTGTTCTGCCACTCGGCCATATAAACTCCTACTCATTCCAGGCCTAGCTTAAATTACAGCCTTTCCCAACTCCCCCACAGAATCACTTTTCCTGCACTGTGTAGCCATCTCTGCTACAACTCATGTCCCATTTGTTTATTACATTTCCGTCTGGGTATCTGTTTGCACTTCAAGACAAATGGCAGGGGCCATGGGCTAGCTGTCAATAAACTTGCCTGCTCAGAGAGGCTAGCTGTCGATGAACCCGCCTGCTCAGTGGGAGCATACAGTAGGCACTTCATCAGTGTTTGGTAAATGAGTGGATGAACTATATAAATCAAACCCAAATATGTCCCTTCTTAGAAATAACAGTAGTAGCATGGTAAAATGAAGGAATAAAAATGAAAAGAAATTTAAACAACACTGCATCAAGATGAAAGTGTTTACACGCACGAAGGCTTGTAATTGTTCAACAGAAATAAAATAATAAATTTGGGTGGGAAGGAGAAACAGGACAGCAGTGGAGAGTGACAGGAAACAGAGGCCAGACGATGGCTAGAGAGCCTCAGATTTGACAATGTGTGACGACAAATATAAAACTGAGTATTTACTGTAGGAAATGCAAAGTATATAATTTGTCAAGGAGAATTTAGCCTTCAAAAGAAGGCAGAGGCAGAGCAGAGAAAAAAAAGCAGTTCAGCAGTTCGGCAGTCCAGCGGTCAAAAAAGACCATGTGAGGTGGTCAAAAAAGACCATGTGAGGTCAGGAGTCTGAGTGTTCTACACTCAGGCTGGCAGACGGGTGTGGGGCCCTGCAAGGCAGAGGGCCAAGCATAGAAAAAAAGCTCCTTTCTAACTCCCTTTTGCAAAAATCCCTATCACCTGCTTCCCAGGAGAGGAGGATTACTTGATCTTAGCCAAAAGATAGGGAAGTTATTTCCACCCCTCCAAGTTGTTTTTACTGGCAGATAAAAAGGATCTCCAAATCCAGAGTGAAGATGGGAGGGAGACAGACAGAAGGAAGGATGGTCAGGCTATCTCTGTCCAATAGACTCTGCAACTCTGCCAAAGCCCAAGGCATGATTCCAGGGGCCCAGCAACAAAGATCCAGGCTCAGTCTCTAAAATAACAGTCAGCCAAGAAGCCCAGAGGGTTTCAACCATTTGCAATTGAGCTGTTTGGAAGTCAAAGTGCAGCTGAGATGAAAGCAGAGAAGCAGGCTGACCCCACCAAAGGGGCTCACTTGGCAGCTGTCATTTGAGGAACCGATGTTGGAATAGTATTATTTGTTATTAAGAACCGTGCAGGAGGCACACTGACTGCTAAAGAAGAGAATTGTTAGGGCTGTCTAAGTGAAGGGTGAGGAATGTGAGGGGGAGGGGGATAAAAGGCTGGAAGATAAAAGAAATGCAACCAAAGACATCTCTTAGATGAGAAATTTAAATGCATCATCTGAAAGTCTCTGGTACTCAAATAAACCGGACAGACTGAACAGCCCTGGGGCAAACTTTTCTTTCTGATGCAACCAAGGATTAAAAGAGAAACTGATATCAAGGATGTTTCAAGATGTTCCAGGCTCAACTTATATATTCACTGCCCCAGCCCTAGAATCAGCCATTTCTCCACGGAGAATAGTATTAGAAACCAAGATATGGGCGCTGGGTGACTCTCAGGTGTGTTTTGATGAACAAAAGTTATCAATCAAAGAATGTATTAACCTATGACATCAAAAGTATAAGCAACAAAAGAAAAATAGATAAACTGGACTTCATTAAAATTAAAAACTTTTGTGCATCAAAGGACACTAAAAAGAGAATGAAAAGACAACCTACAGAATGGGAGAAAATATTTGGTAATCATACATATATCTGATAAGGATTTAATATCAGAATATATCAAAAAATGGGCAAAAGAATAGATATTTCTTCAAAGCAGATAACACAAATGGCCAATAAGAGCATGGAAAGATGTTCAAATATCATTAATTAGGGAAATGCAAATCAAAACCCCAGTTGAAAAAAAAAACCTCAAAGAGACACGACTTCGCATCCACTAGGGTGGCTATTATCAGAAAATAACAAGTATTGGTGAGGATGTGGAGAAATTGGAACCGTCACACATTGTTAGTGGGAACGTAAAATGGTGCAGCTGCTATAAAAGTCTGATGTCCTCAAAAAGTTATAGGATTACCATACAACCCAGCAATTCCACTCCTAGGTATATATGCAAGAGAACTGAAAGCAGGGACTCAACAGGTATTTGTACACCAATGTTCACTGCAACATTATTCACAATAGTCAAAAGGTGGAAACAACACAAGTGTCCATCAACAGATTATTGTGGTATACCCATACAATAGAATATTATTCAACCATACAGACATATGAAGTTCTGATACATGCTACAATATGGATGCACCTTGGAAACGCTGTGCAGAGTGAAATTAGACACAAAAGGACAAATATTACATGATCCCACTTACATGAAATGTCTAGAATAGGCAAATGCATACAGATAAAAGGTTATTAGTGGTTACCAGGGCTGGGGGAAATGCGGATTTATTGCTTGAGGAGTATTAAGTTTCTGTGGGCTGATGAAAAACTCTTGGAAATGGAGAGTGGTGATGGTTCGCCAAACATGTTGAATGTAATTAATGCCACTGAATTGTACATTTAAACCCGGTTAAAATAGCAAATTTTTTGTTGTCTATGTTTGACCACAATAATTTTTTGTAAGTATTAATCTTTTCTGTTACAGTCCACATTTTTTTCTGTCTTGTTTAAGAAATCTTTCCTTCAAGGTCTAAAAGACATTCATCTCTATTTTCTACTGAAAGAATTTTGGTTTTGTTTTTGACATGTAAGTCCTTTTTTCCAAATGGATAACCATTTTTTCCAGCTCCATATACTGAACAGTCCTTCCTTTCCCCATTGATTTGACATCCTCACTATCATATAACAAAGTTACATATGTGCATGGAGTTTTCTGGGTTGTCTATTCCATTCCATTGGTCAATTTTTGTTTATCCCTGCCCTATACCCCATTGTCTTAATTATCATAGCTTCATGATGTTTTACATCTAGTAGGACAAGTCCCTCCTCCTTGCTCTTCTTTGATGTGTCCCAGCTATTTTTTGCCCTTTACACTTCATTTAAGTTTTAGAAATAATAAGTTTCAGGACAAATTGTTTGGACTGTTAGTAGAAACGCATTGAGTCTATGTGTCGATTTGGGAAGAACTGACAATCTCATGATACTAAGTCTTTCCATCTATTTGTGTGATATATCTCTCCATATATTTGTTGTTGTTAGTTGCCTGTCGATTCTGATTCATGGTGACTCCATGTGTTACAGAGTAGAACTGCTCCATAGGGTTTTCTTGGCTGTGATCTTAATGGAAACAGATTGCCAGGCCTTTTCTTGTGGTACCACTGGGTGGGCTCCATATACTTACGTGTTATTTAATACCACTTAATAAAGTTCTGTAACTTTCCCTGTAGGGGTCTTGCACATCTTATTAGATTTATTTCTAGGGATCTGAATGTTTCTGAAACTATTATAAATGGCAACTTCTCTTTAAAGGTCTCCTAGTTGCAACTGACGTTTGCATATCAAATCTTATATCCAGCTACCTTGCTAAAGTCTTCTATTATTTCTAATAATTTGTCTGTAGTTTTGGGGGAGCTTCTAGGTAAATGATCATGATATCTACAATTAACGACAGCCCTATTTTCTCCTTTCCAAACCATACACTTCGAATTTATTTTTCGAATCTTACTGCGTTGGATATTTGCTTCTCGCTGTATGCTCTCAGTCCCTCAAGGAGCCTGTTTCCTCTCAAATCTATTTAAATGACCCCCCAAAACTAAGTTTTCAGCCCTAATTGCTCACCTTCAATCAGTTCTATATTTCTAACTATCCAAAATTACTACTGTCATCTTGCAGTCCCTATGGTCCCCTACATCCTCCCCACTTCAAATATTACAGTTCAGTCAGTGACATCTTTATTTTTCCAGTGTTCTAGGTCAGAAGCACTTGGGAAACTTTCTCGGTTCGTAGCTCTCCCTATCCTCCATTTTCATAGCTAGTATAAGCCCTGTTGCCTCACTAACATAATTACAATATCCCCATTTAAAGACGAACAGAAACTACCACTGTCCACTATCACAAAATTCTCTAAACCAGTTGAAAATGGCTCCAGACTAGAAATGTTCTAGTTCTTGCTCCTACGTTCAGAATTTCTATTCCTGTCTTATAAAATGGACAGGTAGTAAATGGACTGATGCACAAACCACCGATGTTAGAGCTATGAAATCTTTTTTTTTAATTGTGCTTTAGATGAAGGTTTACAGAGCAAATTCATTTCTCATTAAACAATTAATATACATATTGTTTTATGACATTGGTTGCCAACCCCACGTGTAAACACTCTCCCCTTCTTGACCCGGGGTTCCCCATTATCAGCTTTCCTATCCCCTCCTGCCTTCTAGTCCTTGCCCCTGGGCTGGTGTGCCCATTTACTCTTGTTTTGTTTTATGGGCCTGTCTCATCTTTGGCTGAAGAGTGAACCTCAGGAGTGACTTCAGTACTGAGTTAAAACGGTGTCCGGGGGCCATACTCTCAGGGTTTCTCCAGTCTCTGTCAGACCAGTAAATCTGGTCTTTTTTTGTGAGTTAGAATTTTGTTCTACATTTTTCTCTGGCTCTGTCCAGGATCCTCTATTGTGATCCCCGTCAGAGCAGTCGGTGGTAGTAGCCGGGCACCGTCCAGTTGTGCTGAACTCAGTCTAGTGGAGGCTGTGGTAGTTGTGGTCCATTAGTCCCTTGGACTAATCTTTCCCTTATATCTTTGGTTTTCCTCATTCTCCCTTGTTCCAGATGGGGTGGGACCAGCGGAGTATCTTAGATGGCTACTCACTAGCTTTTAAGACCCCAGACGCTACTCACCAAAGTAGGATGTAGAACATTTTCTTTATAAACTATGTTATGCCAGTTGAGCTAGATGTCCCCCGAGAGCTATGCAATCTTCCTGAATACCAGAAAAACAACTGAATTAGACAATTAAGTTATGACGTGTCCAAATCTTCCTTGTACTTAGACTATCAGGTTCCCCTTCTATCATCCTCTATACTACATGAGCTTTTTAATAAAAATCTGATCATCACACCACCTTCTTAAAACCTTTCAATTGATTCCCTGTTTTTATAGACTTAACATGATCAACAGGGTACTACAAGGTTTCCCCCAACCGCATATTTCAAACCTTATTGCCCCATTCACACCCTCATCCTGCAGTCCCAACACAATGGCCATCTTCTGGTTCCCTGAAAATGTCTCTCAGGCCACAGGGTCTTTGCAACCTGTGCTATTCCGTCTCCGGATTATGTACACAGAGTATAATTTACTTTTAAAGTCTTCATACATTAGGGTGTTCTATCTTCTTTAACCGATAGGGAGCATAATCGAAAAAGTTTGGTGACCACTGCTTTATTTCGCCATTATTATGTGTCATCAAGTCGATTCCAACTCATAACGACCCTACAGGACAAAGTAGAACTGCCCCATAGGGTTTCCTCGGCTGTAATCTTTATGAGAGCAGATCACCAGGTCTTTTCTCTAGCGGAGCGGCTGATGGGTTCAAACTGCTGACCTTTTGGTTAGCAGCCAAGTGCTGAACCATTGCAAAACCAGGGTTCCTTTAATTCTGCCATTACATGAACATTTACTAAAGTAACCACTAGTTGTTGGAATGATATGTTTATCAGCCTAGTTCTGGCCATGTATCATGTGGTTTCCACTATCTCTTATAGGTCCATAATCAAATCTTTTGCTAATCTAGTTGCCATGATTGTGTTCATCTCTCTAAAAGAGACGTGGTTCACCAAAGTTAAACCTAGTGAGTCTCCTGTTTAACAACTAAATATCCCCAGAGGGGTGCACCATTCCTGGAAGTACTGTATACCAGGCTGATGCATGGGGTAGATGAAGCAAGCTCCTGTTCATTCTCCTTGTTTCAAAAATCACTTTAATCCACTGTCCTGGTTAGAGGTCGTATCCAACAGTAAGTTGACAAGAACAGATACTACACGTGATCTTAGTCAAAAGGCTGAGAAGTGATACTACCTGTACCAACTCCGTCAGCCCTTCCCATCCCTTCTTCACTCGGTTCACAAAACCAGCATGTAAGCTTGCCCTTACAACCTCCCAAATCCTCATCTCCCCAAAGATCAGGTTATTACTTCTCTAGGAGAGCCCCTGAATGTGACACTTCTTCACAATTCAGGAAATTGTTATGAAATTGGGCATTTTTCTCCACAGAGGTGAATATCTCCACCAGCTTCCAGCAAAACATCGGTCATTTGTATTCCTCCTCCTCCAGTAAGTGAGGCAGTGCCTCTTGCTGCCAGATGGGGTCAGAGTTGCTCCATGAGCTGGCTCTCCAGACCTAAATGCGAGCTCATCAGGGGACCGTCAATGAATTGAGAAAAGACCATTCAAAAATGTATATAGACTAATAAATATATGGTGGTTTGGATGTCCCTGGGTGTCACAAACAGTTAAGCATACAACTACTAACCTAAAGGTTGGTAGTGCGACCCACCCAGAGGCACCAGGGAAGAATGGCCTGGCGATCTGCTTCTGTGAAGATTACAGCCAAGAAAAACCCTATGGAGCAGTTGTACTCTGTAAAAAATGGGTCGCCATGAGTCAGAAATGACACGACAGCATCGGCTTTGGTTTTGGATGCCCCTGGTTCTCACAAGCAGTTAAGAGCTTAACCTAAAGGTTGGCGGTTTGAACCCAGGAAGAAAGTCCTGGTGATCTGTTTCGGAAAGATCACAGCTTTGAAAACCCTGTGGAGTAGTTCTACCCTGCACACATAGGATCACTGTGAGTTGGAGTATACTGGATGGCAACTGGTTTGAGGTTTTTTTTTTTTTTTTTTTTGATAAGTATGAGTCCAACTTTCTATCTTGTATTGCTAGTAAATAGGGATACAATGATGATTTACACAGATATGATCTGGGACCTCTGGTGCCTAGTGGTTAAGAGCTCCCCTGCTAACCAAAAGGTCGGCAGTTCGAATCCAGCAGGTGCTCCTTGGAAACTCTATGGGGGCAGTTCTACTCTGTTCTATAGGGTCCCTATGAGTCAGAACCGACTCCACGGGAACGGGTTTGGTTTTTGGTGTTTTATCTCGGACCTCAGTGACTTTATTGTGGAGGGAAGGAGGTAGGGGTGGTAAGGAAACTCCAGAGAAGCAGAGGTCTTAATGGCTATCTTAATGAGTTAGCCTCTTTACACCTGGAGCCCTGATGGCCTCCCGGTTAAAAGCCCAAAGGCAAAGGGTTTGTTTTTTTCTTTACACCTAGGCTACCTCATCTATAAAATGGGGTAGTTAATCGTTTCTATCTCGTAAGATTTTGGAGGATTAAAGTAATTAATTCATATAGTGTGCTTAAAAAGCACCAGACAGCAGCACATCGATGACAAGTCAGGAAATCAGACCCTATCCAAGACAACGTAGAGCACCTACGTCCCGACTCACTTTCCCGAAATGGCCTCCACCCGCGCCCAAGTCAGCCCAATACCTGAGTCGCCCCCTGCGCTAGGACACTGGTCAGGAGGCCCAGAATGCGGGCCGGGGGACGGGCATGGAGCCGCGACGACGCCGGCCGAGGGCTCAGGAGGTTCGGGATCCATGCAGGCAGACTCTCCACAAGGGTCCAAGGATATGTGGCGGAAAGGGGACCTCAGGACTGGGTGTGGGAGACAGGTGGATGGGACCCAGGATGAGCTTCAGTCCAGGATCGAGGAACCCTCACATTCCAGTCATTCTAGGAATGGGCGTGGGCTGGCGCCGCCGCTATGTGCACCTGCGCATTGCCGTAGAACGCATGCGCGCCTTTTTCCCGCCCCAATTTCGGGGAGCGCGCGCTCCGTGCCCTGCCTCCTCTGACATTCCCTACCCACAACTCCCCGCGCTCGCACGCCGTCTCCTTATACGCGTGCACTGTCCAGAGTCCCGCCCCAAATCCCGTGAGCCTCTGCGAGATGCTATTTAAGTGTGTTACTGGGCGCGTTTGTTCTCATTTTTGCGCTGCTTTCGGTAAGTGGTTGTGTGATTTGTTTGGTGTGGTTATTTTTCTTAATAGTGTGGCGCGCCTTAGGCTTTGGCTCTGCATTGCACTTACTTGGGAGACTGGGTGGCGCATTAGCGGTTGTCTCGTACGTGGCAGCGGTACGGCGGGGCTTTGTCAAGGACAAAATGGCGATTGGCGGGCCGTGCTCTCGGCCCTCCCTGTGATGAGGACCTTCTCACAGACCTGTACTGAGCTTTGTGAGGATAACTAACTCTGAGGATACAGGGCCCTCGCAGCCGATGTCCCACGTTGTTGTCTCCAGAAAGAGGAGTGCTCATACCCACTGCTAACAACGCTTTTTTGTCTGCAGGAAGAGGCGCGCTTTTGAACGCTAAAGAATCTTGAAGAGACTTCTGTCTGTTGGAGTAAGTGATTATGGCCATTCTTTATCTCTGTTCCTGCATTGTTGGTTGTATGAATGTGCTATGAGGATGATTACCAATTGAACTCTCTCTTTCTGAGGGATTAGTGGAGAAGACTTTAAAATTCTGAGTAGCACCACCTGCAGCAAATGTCTCTTTTTGTTTTTTGGAGTTTTATTGTACTCTACTTTGCCATGTTAAGACACTGACAGAATGCAGTTGACGTCCTAAGGGTGTAAAGCTCAGTGAAGGATATGCTTCATTTTTTCAGATGTGGATTAGCTCAGTAGAGCTTACTAGTTGGAGGATGGGACAAAACACAGTCCTCTACAAAAGATTGGCTGTAACTGGGCCCGAAGAGCGTGTGGTACTTCACCTACAACAACCTTCTGGTGCTACTCTTCAAATCTAGCATTACAGTGATGCTCCAAGTGGGTATTTAATGCTTTATGTCATTAAGGGGAAAGAGAGGATACAGTGGAATTTATTCCTTCAAATTGCACTGGCCACTATCTGTGATGAAGATAAAATGACAAGCATATGCCTGAATATAACAAGTGATGTCATCTTTCTGCTGAGAAGTGGACCGGGGTACTCGAGGGGCTTTCAATGGCTCTTCTTAGGTATGTTATGACACTTTTTTTCTGTCTCCAGCATCTCATCACTGATCCTGAAGAATTCAGGTGCCTCCCAGATTGAATTCAGGTAATTGTCCAAATGGGGGTGGGGGGGCCATCTTTCCAGTGTGACCCAGAACCAGGAGAGCACATGGCTGAGCATTATTGCCTTTTTGCTCTTTCTGACTTGTTCTTAGAATAATTTTTTAGGGAGAGGGACAGCAATAGAGTTTTGGGGAGGGTGTACTCCTCCACGCACTTGTCACTGTCAGATGATTTGAATTGATAATGCTGATGCTGTGTGAGGTATGACCGTTAATAGCATGTTAGAGTTCTGATGGCAGTTGCTGATGCTAAAGAAATTTTGTTCTGCCTTAATTTTTTAAAAAATTGTTTGCTCCCCTTTCCCAGGTTGTGATGATGCCATACTCATCTGTCTTAGGTAAGCTACTTCTGATACTTTCATAAATTACCACGTTCCTGTGTAAGCCTTTGGGTTAATGGAATGTGGACTGGAACCCATTATCCAGTGGCTTTTTTGTTGGCAGCTTTAGCAATGAGGAAAACAAACATCCTGTCTTACTCCCTGTTCTAACCCCAGAGCCAGTAATGGTGAACCCACTGGGGCTAACTGGGAGAGAGGATGAGAACTTGTTCCATAAGAAACTGTCAGAGATACAGCAAGTGCCTACAGTGTATCCTTAGATTTCCTTTGCATGCCTATTAACTGGAATAGTTTTTTGTGTTTTGGATATTTCCTGATTAAAATGATTTTCTGGTTTAGAAGCAGCTTGAACATGGATACCAGTGAAAAGCCCCCAGAGTTAAGAGGTTAGTTTGTTGTTTTTTTATTGTTGTCATATGCCTTATGTAGCCAAGTAGGCAGTTTCTGTGATGAACCAAACTAGCTCACTATGACATATACAATGAAAATATGTGAACACCTGAGAAACTGGAGAAGACAGGTAGTGGGGGGTACTGTGTGTAAGGCATCTTTTCATCCACAGTCTTGTTCTTTAGGTACTGCTAACGGTGAGCTGGTCGTTGGCTAAAAAGTAAGTGATTTCAATATGTTAATATGCACGCGGCATATAGGGTGGAGAAAGGTGCCTTCTCAGGCCCTTCTGTATGATGACGTACATGGAATCTCGTTCGGCTGATGACTTGCTGCTGAGACATGGAAATCTGATTTTTTGGGAGATAAGGGCTTGGACAAGAACACCTTAATAGATATTGCCAACTGAGTCTTATTTGTTGCAGGTGCAGCATCTTGCCTGGGGCACTAGCGATGATTTGAGGTAAGTATATATAGGAGCCCTAGTGGCTCCGCAGTTAAAGCGCTCAGCTGCCAACTAAAAGGTCGGCAGTTCAAACCTTCATATAAAAAATATTTGCGTGTGCCTGGGTAACTATACAGACTACCTAGTTTAGTCTGAAGTTTTACTGGCAACTGTCTGATCACCAGTGATGAGTTGAATACCGCCCCAGTCTGATCACTGTGACTGAAAGGTATTTCTGAGCTGTGAGCTTGCCTTGCCAGAAACAAGTTTTAACAGTAGCAAGTTAATTGAGTGGATTTTACTGTGGACAAGCTGGTAATTTCCATATTCATTGAGAACCTGCACAGCATATACCAGAGGGTGCCTTTCCTCTAAGCAACAGGAACTCCTGGAATGATTGAGAGACTTAACTCCCAATCTCTTATTTTTTTGCAGGGAGACTGGAAGCCATATGTCTCCTCAGTCCTGGTCTGAGGTTAGAGGTGAGTAAGCATGCACTTAAGCTGGGCTAGGTAAAACTGTATCCCAGTGAAGAAACATTCACACGTCTTACCTCCTGTCCTGGTCCCAGAGCCTGAAAAGGTGAACCCACTGGGGCTGGCTGGGGGAGAAGAGGAGAGTTTGTTCCAGAAGGAACTGTCTGAGGGATCATGAGGAGTTCTACACATGGGAGAGGGAAGAGTAACCATCTATTGAAAATCAATTATCTTGTCTTTACAGGTCTGAGGAAAGGAGCAAGGTACATTTAAATGGTAGGTATTTTGTTCAAAGATTCATACAGACTATGAGCAGAAAAGTACCTGGAAGCAGGCCTTCTAATGTTAGCTAGTTGTTCTTCCCTCTGCAGGAACCAAGCTCTTGGATATGTTGAAATCAGCGTGCAGTCATTTCAGTCTGTCTACTACCTCTCAATAAAGCCTTTTTTTTGTTTGTACCTTGAGTGTAGTTTGTGTGGGCGTAGGTAGCTTGGCAAAATGAAATAAGCCCTGAGAATTCACTATCATAGGCTCTGCCCAGCTTAGTGTGGTAATTTACCTAATGCTCTATTGCCTAGTCCAGAGAAGAACATTCCTAACACTGCTGATCTCATCTAAGTCTTTGCAGTTGCTGTTTTTCCATATATATCATTTATTAGCAGTGTATAAATTCCATGTATAATGTTATCATGTTGACCTAAGTAGATCTAGCTTCAAAAATACTTCCACTGAACATCCATCTTGGTGCCCATACACCACTATATCTGAGCATGAATTTAAGATACAGTGAAGTTCCTCAAAGATGAGCTGCTTGGTTGATCTCCAGAGAAGCACATTTACAATCTCACAAAAAGGTTAGGTGGGAACCAAGATGAAGTACTTAACTGCAAGCAAGTAAGCCTTTGCAGAAGTAGTTCTGTTCTGCAAGAAGTCAGGTCACCGTGAGTTGGCAGCCAGTATGCATTTGCTCATAGCACAGATCTTGGCAGGCAAGTGCTAAAAGCATCCACAGAGAACAGGCTTGTATGTACATTGTGTACTGTGAGAGAAGGAATAGGGAAAGTGGTTACCAAAAAGTACTAGGGGGTTAACTCTTAGACTAGGCTATAAACTTTGGGAGATGAGGCCACTGTTAATTTAAGCCAGAGTTAGGAAATTTAGCTAAGAGGCAGTGGGACAAGCTACAGAGAGGCCAGCATAGAGCAGAATCCACAAGAAATGTCTGGTAGATAATAAAAGCCTCCTGCAAGCCTTGTTCGCACGCAATTTGGCAAATTAGGCCCCAGGTTGGGTTCTGTCAAGTCGATTTTCAATTCTTAGCTATACTGTGACAGAACTGCCTTGGTGTCTCTAGGCAGAACTGCCTTGGTGTCTCTAGGCTGTAATGTTTATGGGATACTCTGTTCTGTAGGGCTGCTAGTCAGGATTGTCTGGACAGCAGTGGGTTTAGGTTTTCTTTTGGTTTAATCTTCATGGGAAGGAACCCTGGTGGCATAGTGGTTAAGCCCTTGGCTGCTGTGAGGTTGGCTGTTCCAGCCCACTAGCTGCTCCACAGGAGAAAAATGCGGCAGTCTGCTTCTGTATAAAGCTTTACAGCTTTGGAAACTGGGACAGTTGTACTCTGTCCTACAGGGTCGCTATGAGTTGGTTTTTATGGATAATCTTCACCAAGAGAACAGATCTCCAGGTCCTTGTCCCATGGAGACATGGGTAGTTTCCAGCCACCAAACCTATCACGTAGTTGTGCCACTAGAACTCCTTCAACCCCAGGTTAGGGACTGCTTATGCTAAGAGGTGCGATAAATGAGACAGATAATGTGGAAAGATTGCAGGGGGAGGGAACTAGACCAGAATGACTGAAGCTAATGACAGACTACGATGTCTCCAGCCTGCAACCTCTTCCCTGAGTTCTAGGTACATCCAACTGCCCACTTGATGTCCAGTGAGACACTGGGACCTTGATTTTGTGCCCAGCTCTGCTCCCCAAGTCTCCCCACTTCTGTAAGTGGCACCAGCACCCAACAAGCTGGGGAGGTCCCAAACCTAGCTGTGTAACCAGAAGAGCCAAGGCCTTTATTTTGTTGACTGCTGTTTGGTTACGTTATTTCCAACCCATAGAGACCCACAGGAAAACTGCCCCATAAAGTTTCTAAGGAGCCCTTGGTGGATTTGAACTGCCAACCTTTTGGTTAGCAGCTGTAGCACTTAACCACTACACCACCAGCGTTTCCTTTAAGAGGAAAGAGAAACCAGCTAACAAGTGAAGATTATTTGAAATAACACAGTGGCTCTCAACCAGGGCACACAGCCATGTCTGGAGCTCTGGTAACAAAGCAGTTAGGAGCTCAGGCTCCTAACCGCTTGGTTTTTCTTGAAAACCCTAAGGGGCGGTTCTACTCTGTCCTGTAGGGTCATTGTGAGTCAGAATCGACTGGACAGCAGTGGGTTTGTTTTGGGGGAGATGTTTTTGGTTGTCACAATTTGGGTGAGGAAGGAAGTTGCTACTGATTCCAGTGGGTAAAGGCCAGCAATGCCGCTGAACATCCTACAACTCAGGACAGCTTCCCTACACCCAGCAATGAATTTGCTTTCACCCTCTGTATTCGTTTCTTGCTGCTATGACAAATTACAAATGTACAAACTTAGTAACTTAAATTTACTCTGTTATAATTCTGGAGATAGAAATCTGCACTGGGTCTCACTGGACAAAGATGAAGGTGTCAGCAGGGTTGCTTTCCTTTCTGGAGCCTCTAGGGGAGAATCTTTTTGCAGTTTATGGAGGCTGCCCACATTTTTTGGCTGGTAGGGCCCTCCCATTTTCAAAGTCAGTGGTGGCCTCTCCAGCCGAGTCATTCTCATGCAGCATCACTCTGACACTTGATTCTCTTCTTTATAAAGACTGTCATGATTATGCTGGACCCACCCAGATACTCCAGGATAATGTCCCCATCTCAAAACCCTTAATTTAATCATATTTGCAAAGCCTCTTTTGCCATATAAGGTAACATTCACAGGGTCCAGGGGTTTGGACGTAGGACATCTTCGGGGGATCATCATTCTGCCTACCGCACCCCCTTAATTGGGCCCCTCCCTGGAGGCTCTGGGCTAACAGGTGAAAATCTGTAGAAACTTCTTGTTTAACACCAGGGACAAAGTGTTGAAAAACTTTGTTCTCTAAAATCATGGACTCTCAGAAGCTTTGGTGTTTGAAATCATGTCAGCGAGAATGGAACACCCTGCTCTTGCCAGGAGGCTCAGCCATGTGTGTCACTGATACAGAGATGCGGCCACTCTTTCCAACCAAGTGCAGAGCTTCAGCTAAGGAGTATATGTCAAATTTTACAGGGATGGTTCAAAATCCCCTTATCCTTTGTGTTCTGGGAAAGGCTTACTGCAAAGAACCACCCTTCCCCATACGACTTAAGACTCACAGATGCCCCCCTTGTTTACCTATGACAAGACCAGACACAGACCTCCACACTTCCATTGTTTGCCTCATAAATGATTAGCTGAACTCATCCCACTGCTCGATCAGAACAAAATACCTGTTAACCAAACTTCCGCCACATCCCTGGACTTTGACCAGCATACTCCCTAACAGCCCCTCCAGAAAAATAGGCTGACCTCAGGGAAAAGTCTTCTTTGACTCCACTTTTCCAGACATTCAGTTTTTTTCTAGCCTTGTTTACCAGTTGCTTTCCAGTTGGTTCTGACTCATTGTGACCCTGTGTATGTCAGAGTAGAACTGTGCTTCACAGGGTTTCAATGGCTGATTTTTTGGAGGCAGATCGCCAGGCCTTTCTGCCGTGGCACATGTGAGTGGACTCAAATGGCCTTTTGGTTAGCGCTAGCAGTCAAGCACCTTAACCATTTGCACAACCCAGGGACTCCTCTAGCCTTGTTATTGCTCTCTGTAAAAGAAGAAGGGAGCCCTGGTAGTGCAGTAGTTAAAGCGCTCAGCTGCTAACTGAAAGGTCATCGATTTAAACCTACCAGCAGCTCCGAGCGACAAAGATGTGGCAGTCTGCTTCCGTATAGACTGGAAATCCTATGGGGCAGTTCTACTCTGTCCCATAGGGTTACTATGAGTCAGAATGGACTCTACAGCAATGGGTTCAATGGGTATAAAAAGCTGACTTTTGTCTAACCAGACTCTTGCAGATCTATGGTCAGAGTGGTCTCCCTATTGTGATTGTCCCCGCCCCCAATAATCCTTTCGAATAGTCTCTCCTTACTAAATCCGGATTTTTTACTTGACAAGGGACTTTAAACATAACATTTCACATTTGTACTAATAAAGTTTCCAAGGAAACGAGACCTCAAGTCCTTTCCCAGCCAGGGTCTGATGGTAATCCCTTTCATGGAGCGGGGCTTTGCTTTGAGCCTGTAAAAGAACCGCTTTGTTTACCTACACTCCCTCCCCCAAATCCCGAAACAACCTCCTCTGCTTTGAGGCGATGGCCTGCGCTTAACCAGTGCGCTACCGGGGCCCCTCATGATACAAACAGCAAGGGATAGATGGGATGGGGTGGATATTATGGCAAGTCAGGGGACAGGTGCCGAAGGGAACTGGGATCCTGAGAGTGCCCAGGGAAACACAATCAGAAAGGTCAGCTCTGTGGCCAGCGCACGGCCACGCGCCTCACCAGCATGTTGTCGATTCTCACAACAACCCCCTTGAGGTGCGTGTTACTCTCTTCCCCGTTTAGCAAAGAAGGAGACAGGAGGTGAGTAACACGCCATCAAGTCAGGAACTGGCAGAACAGGGATCCCAGCCCCATTCTTTTGCCTCCAAAGCCGGTGCTCTAACCGCCCCGCGGCCGCTCCAAATACTCTCCCGGGAGAGGGACGCGGCCAGAGGCCGCACGAAATCTTCAACGACTAACGTCACCTCCCAATGGGACCCCCCCCACCCCCCACCTCCCGCAGCGATAAAAACTAGGCTGGGAATCTAACGCCACAATCTGGGAGAAAAAGACATCATACGGGGATTGAAATCACGTGTTGTACGTGGGCCAATCCCAAGAATTTAAAGAGCGAGCGAGCGCAAACGAGAGACAGCAAGACAGCGAGAGCAAAAGAGAGAGAGAGAGCAAGTAGAGCGAGAGCAAGAGAGAGAGAGAGAGAAAGAGAGCGAGCACAGAGTGGCGGGTTTATGCAAAACTAGCTCTGAACCATGCCATGTGAGCACGCAAGCAACGCGATAAATATCCCGATTTAAGGTCTGTTTCCAAAAGTCTACCTTCTATTACTAAGTAATAATAATGAGAAATCTATCTTAAGAATTATTTCTTGTTCAAAAATAATCTAATCATTACGCTATTAAAGTCACCATAACTGTAATAGAGACAGTAAGGATAAGGCCAACTGGGCCGGGGAGGAATTGTTATCGCTTCTCGGCCTTTTGGCTAAGATCAAGTGTAGTATCTGTTCTTATCAGTTTAATATCTGATACGTCCTCTATCCGAGGACAATATATTAAATGGATTTTTGGAGCTGGGAGATGGAATAGGAGCTTGCTCCGTCCACTCCACGCATCGACCTGGTATTGCAGTACTTCCAGGAACGGTGCACCCCCTTTTGGGGGAAAATATTGTGTTGAAAAAACAGATAAAAGTGTTTGTGTTGTAGTTTATTGTTTGGTGTTGTTTTTGAGTATGTATTTATAATGGTTAGCTTTTTCTTTGAGTAAAAGATAGTTTTTGGAATATACTAGTGAAAAATGGCAGTTTTCAAAATTTGGGAAGGTTAGTCACAGATGTTTTTCCAGAAGTATACAGTAAGTGGTTCTATGTTTTCATATAAACCTGCTATGAGTTGGAATTCATTTGACGGAATGGTATGAGTTTGGGATTTTAAAATGTGTTAGATTGGTGTCATAACAAAGCTTTTGTTGTCTTGCATGGACTCTGTGTGTGTGTTTTTGTTTCGTAGAATATGTATTTTGGATTTTCGATCAAATGTTGACTAGTGGAAAGATTCGGAGAATTGGTGTGCTTCTGGGTCTTTAGTATTGTTTTCATCAGTTTATCTGATGTCATCCCCATTTGGTCAGTTTGCTATGGGAGCTTTTAGGGAAGGAGATGGAATAGCTTGAGCCCTCCCTTCTGATTGAAACACTGCAGTGTTTTGTTCTGTTGGACATTCTGAGTTGGCACCTAGCAACAACCTTTGTATGTGTTGACCGGGTATTATTGTACTTCGGGGAATGGTTGCACAGTGATTAAGTGCTTGGCTGCTAACCAAAAGTCACTCCTCCAGGGTAGAAAGATGTGGCAATCTGCTTCGGTAAAGATTACAGCCTGGGAAACCTATTTTATTCTGTCCTGGAGGGTCGCTATAAATTGACTCTGTTAACAGCAACAGGTTTGGTTTGTTTTTGGGGGGGAATGGTGCACTCCCCTTTAGATTTCTAAATTGGTTTAGGGGACAGGAAGTGTTTTGCCCATTTGTCTTTGTTTAGTTCTCAGAGTTTTAACCTAGGTTAAGACGGGAGGCCACTGATCTGTCCCAATCAGCCCAAGAGCCCAGGTGTGTTCCTGATGAAGGACACTGCACAACTAAAGGAATCAAAACAAAATAGGATTTTAGGGAAAGAGGGAGGTTAGATCTAGTTGAGTTTAAATAAAGCAATATTTTGATAGGCTCAATGCAATGTAGCACTGTGTGCAAAGGGGTCAACATCAGATCTGGACTGTGAAGTGCACCCAGGGTGCTGTTGCCTTCGTAATACAAAGTTAAGACAAACAGACTGTTGTGCTCAGACGCTCGTGGCGTGGTTGTTAAGCGCTAAGTCATCTAACCAGAAGATCAGCAGTTCGACTCTACCAGGTGCTCCTTGGAAACTCCATGAGGCAGTTCTACTCTGTCCTATAGGGTCACTATGAGTCGGAATCGACTCCATGGCAATAGGTATGGGTTATTTAAATTGCAAGAATATATTTAACACACTTGCCAATTCAATATTTTTCGGTACAATTTAGTGATATCAATTACATTAATCATGTTGCACAACCATCACCCATAACAGTTGCCAAACTGCCCATCACAGATGTTCATTCTTAATGATATAATTTCAAACAGCAAAGTTTCTGATACTCTGATTTTAGAGAACAAATTTTCTCAGTAAGACATCAGTAGTCACTCAAAGAGGGGTCGTTATGACATTTTAGAGCGGCAGCTTATCTTTGGGAGTGTTGAAATAAAAATAACAGAGTCCTCTACACAAAGGTTTATTAAGTAGATAATTATGCTACCAGAAGGAACCTGGCCCAAACTAGTCCAAAATTCCCTATTTGGAAGGAGAGAAAAGAATTTATAGACAACCAATAAAATTCTATAGCAAATAAATTTTAAGTGGTTGGTTAGGTGAACAAAGAAATTCTAAGCAATTGGTTAAGTAAGAAGTCTATAATTTGGAGGGAGGGATTATAAAAAGTGGAGAAAGCTAATTCATTGGGTACTTTGAAGAACTGTTTTCTCTGGTTGGGTTGACTTTAGTTTACTGAGTCAGAGAGGGGCTGTAATTGATAAGCTGATAATAAACCAGGGTTCTTGTAAGAAGCCCTGGTGACGAAGTGGTTAAGCAGCTCGACTGCTAACCAAAAGGTCTAACCGGCTAGCCTGGGGAGAATAGAGCGTGTACAAAAGGTCGCTATGGGTCGGAAGCAACTCGACTGCACCTAACAACAAGGGATTCCAGTAAGCCTTGGGGGTAGTTCCATTCTGCCCTATAGGGTGGCTGTGAGTCGGAATCGACTAAACGGAGATGGTTTTTTTAAATTTTTTGGTTTGAGTCTCAATTAGTGTCCTCCAGCGTTTGTGGGTATTTCATTTCTTGTGATACTCCTTTTATCCAAGACACTTGGCATAAATTTGGTACTGCTTTGAAAACCAGCCATGAGGGATGCCCAAGGTTCTTTCACAGTCAGCCAAATTAATCGCTCGATTTTTAACATTTAATAGGAGAAATAACTCATTTCTGTTCACTTTGCAGATTTTTACTCTCTGTTTGAGCTAAATTTTACTTTCGCATCACCAAGCCTCAATGCAAGGAAATAAAAACGATGCCCCACCCCACTTTCCAAAAGAAAGCTTGTTATACATCGTCGTTTTTTTTCCCCCCGTTTTTCTTCGTTTGCTTTGTGTCTTTTACACTCGAGGATGAAGAGGATGAAGCCACGCACAGCATTAAGGATATGAATAGTTTCTGAAGTAGCTTCTTTTCTCGTCAACCCAGAGCAAGGGACAGATTAGGGCTGACTCGACCCGGCATCGCAGTCCAGGTGCAAGGTCCACTCCAAGTGCAAAAAAAAAAAAAGTTACTCTTAAGATCCCCGTAAATATGCATCTCCTAATTTCATTTTCGTAAAGCAAATCAAGCTGGAGCGGGCAGGGAATCATTACACCTCCGGCTCTTTAAACTCCCATAAACTGCCTTTGTCTGGACCGGACGCCGCGCCCACTGGTGACGCAGACACCGCGCCGGAAGTACGAGCCGCGGGCTCCCGAGATATATCATGGCGGCTGCTGCAGCGCGCTGGAACCACGTGTGGGTTGGCACCGAAACAGGGATCCTGAAAGGTAGGTGGCGGGGCCGAGCATCGGAGGATGCGGAGGGTGCCCTCTCGTGACCCCGGCGCACGTGACGCCGGCGTTCCGCAGGGGTGAACCTTCAGCGCAAACAGGCAGCAAACTTCACGGCGACTGGACAGCCGCGGCGCGAGGAGGCGGTGAGCGTCCTGTGCTGGGGCTCGAGCGGCGAGACTCAGGTGAGTGGTCGCGAACCAGGCGGGAGCTAGGGGACCTGGGACGCGGCACCGCGCCCTCATCACTATCCTGTCCTCGTCTGCCCCCCAGATACTGCTGGGCTGCGTGGACGCGACAGTGAGGCGCTTCAGCACCGAGGAGGGAATATTCCAGGGCCAGAGGCACTGCCCCGGCGGCGAGGGCACGTTTCGCGGCCTCGCCGAGGCCGACGGGTAAGACTGATCCCCTTGCTGAACGCTTGGTTGGGAGAGCGTTGAGGCTTCCTTAGGACAGCCTTAGGTGACACAGGCCTGTTGAGTGACAGGGACCTGGATTCGTGCCTTTGTTCGTTTATTTCTTTAGCAAGCATTTGCTGAATATCTACTGAGTTGCAGACGCTGGGCAAAGGGCAGGGACCGCAGGTGAACCAGACACACTTCTGTCTTCATAGAGCTTGCATCGTCTTGGGTTTTCTTTCTGGCTCCACCATAACTTTCTAGGTGATCCTGAACAAGTCAGTTAATCGTTTTGAGCATGTTTCTAAGTGGGGACTGACCACCACCAACAAGGTGATGAGGCTTCTAAACTAAAGGATAGGAAGGTGTTAGTGGTTAGGTTACTGGTCCAGGCTTCTGAGGATGAAGGTTATGAGCTGTTAGGCTGCATAGGTTTGGTGGTGTTAATTCTGACAGGTGAGGCCTGGAAGGGCTCTGGAGGGTGGGACATTTGAACTGGGCCTTGAAGGATGGGTAGGGTTTTGACAGATGGAGAAGAAGGTGAAGGCATTCTAGAAAGAGGGTACAGACTAGGGAGAGGCAGAGATTGGGCACAGACTACAGGGTCCATCTCAGGGATGATAAGTAGTATTTGGGGATTGAAGCCAAAGAAGCGTTTTAATATAGAGTGGGCAAGGTAGATCGGGATTAGATGTGAAGGGCTTTATGTGCCAAGCTGAGAGATTTGTACTTTTGTTTTGTAGGTAGTGGGGAGTTGTTGAAGGTTTTTGAGCTGGAAGGGCTGTGGTCAGAGCTATGAACCTGCAGTAGTGTGAAGGATGGATTGGAGAGAGAGCTGTTGGGAGACTGTTGCCTGAGAGCCTGAACCAGGGTGGGGAGGTTGGGCAGATGTGAGAAAGCGTAGGCAAAGGCTATACAGAACCTTGGAACAGACTTATTAGAACTTTATGGTAGGGATTCTTTAAAGAAGCAGCTGATGTTAGTGCCTGGGACCCAGAACAAGGAACTTGAGAGAAACTAGTGTTTGACTTTGGCCAAACCCTAAATCCAAACCAGCCTTACGTCAGTCCTTTCAGAGCTACTCATCCTGATCTCTGGTAACTGACTTAAGAGTCAGAAAGATCAGCAGGGCCAGATGCCCCCAGACAGCTGTGGACTAGCGAAGCACTCTGCTTTGGAGTATCACAGACTTGATTTCCAGCTGTGGTTCTGACATTTATAGCTGAGTGGGCCAATATTTCAGTTTTTCAGAGCTTTAGTATCCTCACTTATAAAACTAGTAAACCTTCATTTTGTTGAGAAAATTAAAGGAGATAAGAGACATGGAAGCTGGAAGTTGTCAAGCCCTGCCCAGAACACCGTTACTAGGGACTTTCTTAGGAACTTGGCTAGTGGAGGGAGTCTCCCTCCTAATTTGAATTTGGGGGTAGGTTGGCTAGGGCCCGGACTAGAACACCTTTTTTTTTTTTCCACCAACTCCATCCTCCCTCTGCCTGCAGCAACCTCATCACATGTGTGGATTCTGGGATTCTTCGAGTCTGGTGTGACAATGACAAGGAGGTGTCCTCCGACCCAGTGAGGCTCCCCCGCCCTGGTTGGGGAAGGTGGGCGCTGGGGTAGGAGCCTGATTAGGGCTTCAGGGGAGGGAGGGTTGGGGTCTCTGAGACTGACTCTTCATCTCAAATTTCTGGCAGCTCCTGGAGCTGAAGGTGGGCCCTGGGGTGTGTAAGATGCGCCAAGACCCAGCACACCCCCACGTGGTTGCCACTGGTGGGAAGGAGAATGCATTGAAGGTGTGGGACCTGCAGGGGTCTGAGGAACCTGTGTTCAAAGCCAAGAATGTGAGTGATGGGCAGGGGGTGGGGGTGGGGGGCTAGGTTTAAGTACCAAAGATGCTGAGGCCATTGACTGAGTCAGAGGCCAGATAGACTTTAGGGGGTGATGAAGGGGTACACTGAGCCCTCACAACCCTGTCCTCCAACTATCCATCCCACCAGGTGCGGAATGACTGGCTCGACTTGCGGGTTCCCATCTGGGAGCAGGACATACAGTTCCTCCCTGAGTCACAGAAGCTCGTTACCTGCACAGGGTACCACCAGGTGAGGCACCCCACCCCAGCCTCCTCCTAGGCTTAAGCAGTATCCTAAAGAAAGAACTTCCCTGTGCAGGCTTGGCCCCCATGACTTGGCACAGCTGCCCACCTCACCAGCCTTTTTCCATCCCTGAGCTCTCATAAGAGGGAGCTCTTCCCTATCCATCTCAGCCCTGCCACTGAGCCAGCCACCTTCTCTTACTACCTTCTGGGATGGAGTTTCCTGAACTATGGCTGTTCCTTTCTCTTCTGCTGGAAGAGAGGAGAGGAGAAAGGAGTATCCTTTTCACAGTGGGACCCATAGGGTACAGATGTCATGAGAGGACATTGGGCTGGCTGTCAGGGTTCTGGTCCTGAGGCTGCCTCTCATTTGCTTTGGGACCCAGGCCCTCCCCTCCCCCTGTCTGGCCTCAGCTGTCCATGAAGGACTGGACTGGGGATCATGACAGTTATCTCATTTGAAGTCCTAAGACCCAGATAAGGCTGGGTCACTTATTTGCCCTGTTTCCTTCACTCCTACATACTTGAAGTCTAATCTTTTGATATGCCTCTGCTCAAAACCCACACCAGGGCTTCCTCTCTCCTCTCTCATTCAGGCTGAACTTCTCTGCTTGGAATTCAGCACCTTCTGACAATTGAACTGACTTGCTTTTCCATTCTCCTACTCCCCCTACACGGGCAGATGAGGGGAGGGAATGCTCACACCTGACCATGGCAATGCTGTCCTCCTCCCCAACCTAGGGGATCTCTCTCCTCAGTCCTGTCCATTTATGCTCCTAAGCAAACTTGTACCTCAGTTTGCACAGTCCTGCTAAAAAATGTTCTAGTAGTGACTGAAGTCCTCTAACTTCAAGAGGAGGAGATAGAATCACCATCAGTCCAAAGCTGAGTCCTATGAGGTAGAGATCAAACATACCTCCACTCTGCAACCTCTTTACCATTTCTGACATCAGCCGTCCCCGCCAGGGCACTCTCTACTTCTCTGCTGGGCTTGATAATTCATTCAAATAGCCACACAACTCACAGACCATACTTACAGTTAGTGGTTTATTAGGGAAGTAACAGGGTACAACTCAGGATCAGAATAGATAGGCTGCAACTTGGGATCAGGATCCGGCAGCATGTAGGCAAAGTCTGGAAGGCTCCCCCAAAGTGGAGAGTACATCACTCTCTTCTTTCCTGCAGACAGCTCTCAGCTCTCTGCCGTGCAAGCAAGCAGGCCCTTCTCTCTGCTGTGCACACCCCTGCTCAGCCATACAGGCCTCTCTGCCACTGGCCTCCCTGCTGCCAGCCTCTCCACTGCTAACTGACCCAGCTCATAACCAGTGTAACAGCTTTGTTCAGCTCTCTTAGCTGTATTGCTAGCAGCAGGTTTCTGCTTTTACCACCAGCTCTCCCACAGGGCCCTCCTGGGCCTGTCACCATTAGCTGTGGCGCAGGGCCCCTTCCGGGCTTCTCGATGCCTTCAGTGTTACATCCCGTGACCTGTGTTGCAGCTCTGTTAGGAGGTTCCTCACCTCCTCTCTGCGGCTTCTCTCTTCTTACCTCTCTTGTCTTCTCCTTTCTGAAATCTCTGTGGGTTTGGCTGCTTATATAAGCAAACTCCTTATCAATTTCAAGGTATGGCCCTCCGAGCAGGGCCACAAACTGACCAATCCCCTTGGTGGACCATAGTCATTTTATTTGCATAGTCTATAGTCACTTTATTTGCATAGTTTATTGACCAGTCCCTGCAAGGTACATACCTATCCCAGGGCAGGCTACAGCCCAGGACCAAACAGGAAGCATCAAACCAAGTTGTTTACAGTTTACCCAGGAATTGGCAATCAACATGGACAAAAGTAAGAAACCCTGGGTAGAAAACTAGGGCTAAGATAACTCCTCAGGACTTAGGGGAAAAGTCTCTCAAGCTGTTTTTCCAAAGAACCGAGGCAAAAGGCCATGTAAAGGAACTCATTTCCCCACACCTCCCCACCTCACAGGTTGGTGTGAGAGTGGGTCATAAACAAGCAGCACGGAAGGGTGTGGAGAAGCCCCAAGAGGGCTTGAGGCTGAGGGTACTGTGATGATGCCTCAGTCTTCCTCCAGGTCCGTGTCTATGATCCAGCCTCCCCCCAGCGCCGGCCAGTCCTAGAGGCCACGTATGGCGAATACCCGCTGACAGCCATGACCCTCACTCCTGGTGGCAAGTGAGTACTTGGAGGGGTAAGGTGGGTGGCAGGGGCTCAGGGAGGTCTCCAGGAGGTTCCCGCTGACGCGCCTGCCTCTGGTCTCTTCAGTTCAGTGATTGTGGGGAACACGCATGGGCAGCTGGCAGAAATTGACTTTCGGCAAGGTGAGTGGACTAGAGGGAAGGATGGGGAAGAAGGCAGGATTCCTTCTGAGGCAATGGAGTGGAGTGGTCATGAGCTCTATTCAGGTGCCAGAATGCCTGGGTTCAAATCCTGGTTTCACCAAAAGTTGTTGACCTTGGGCAAATTACTTCAACTCTGTGCCTCAGTTTCCTCACCTACAAAATGAAGATACTGCTGGTAACTCCTGTCTCAGAGTTATGTTGAGGACTAAATGTTGAAATGTAAAGTGAAAAGAACAGTAAACAATAAATGGTTGTTGGCTGGCCAGCTAGCACTGATACCCCTGCTGTCCCCAGGGCGCCTCCTGGGCTGTCTGAAGGGGCTGGCAGGCAGTGTCCGAGCGTTGCAGTGCCACCCTTCAAAGCCCCTACTAGCCTCCTGCGGCCTGGACCGAGTCTTGAGGGTACACAGGATCCGGAACCCACGGGGTCTGGAGCATAAGGTGGGAGCCCAAACCTCTGAGCCTTGCCCCTCCCACCTAGTTCAGTTCTTGGAGCCCACTGGCTCCTGTGTCCCTGTTCATTTTTACATCTATGTCAGCGTGCCTGCGCTCCCTAAGGCCCCTCATCTTTTGCAGGTTTATCTCAAGTCTCGGCTGAATTGCCTCCTCCTGTCGGGCAGGGACAACTGGGAGGTGAGCGACTGGATCTGGGACTGTGGGAGCCAAGGGCATAGATGTGAGGATTTCCCTCGGAGAGCAGAAGCAGACAGCTGGAACCCAGGCCTGGAGCTGTCCATTTGCCTGCCAGATTATTTCATTTCTCTAATGGCTATTAATACTCACAGTCCTGACAAGGTTATTGCTAAGAGTGACACACTAAGAGCATGGACCAGAGTGGTGTCCTGGGAGCAGGAAATAAAGGTGATGGTGGTGGTGGTCCATGGAAGGGTTATCTCCCAGCTAGGGCCTCCAGGAGGAGCCCTGGTGGCACAATGATTAAGCACTGGGCTGCTAACCGAAACAGCGGTTCAAACCTACCAGCCACTCATTGGGAGAAAGATGTGGCAATCTGCTCCTGTAAAGATTACAGCCTTGGAAACCCTATGGGCAGTTCTACGCTGTCCTCTGGGGTCGCTGTGAGTTGGAACTGACTGGTCGCAACAGGTGTGGTTTTGGTTTAGGGCCTCCTTCCTGTAGGTCTCTGTTACTTTGCCCCAGTTCTTAAGTTTTCTCCCATTCACCAGGATGAGCCCCAACAGCCTCAAGAGCCCAACAAGGTGTCCCCAGAAGACACAGAGATGGATGAACTTTGGGCTTCCTTGGAGGCAGCTGCCAAGCGGAAGCTCCCTGATTTCAAGCAGAGCCAAGGGGCCCTCCAAGCCAGACACAAAAAGAAGAAGCGACCTGGATCCACCAGTCCCTAAAGTCCCTGGACCCACTTTGTAAATAAACATCCCAGCACCCACCTTGACCTTGAGCCTTTTGTGATGGGAGAAAGGAAAGGGGTGGCTTGGGGTATGGGCTTGCAGAGCTGCGGCGGCAGGATTTATGACGTCACAAAAGCTGGGTGAAGGGCCCGCGGGCGGGCTGACTGGAGGGGCTGGCACAGAGTGCGGGCCGCGTGAGGCCATGGGCTGCTGCCAAGACAAGGACTCCGATGAGGCGACCAGGAAGGCTGACTCCGAGGAAGGTGGGACCAGAGACTCCGAAGAGTGGGACTGGCAGGGCATAGGAGAGGGGGATGGCTAGGGAGGTTGGACGGGATGGTACAGCAGAGCTCAGCGGCCTCGTCGACCTCCTAGGCACCGAAGAGACAGATGCCACGAGCACCCAGAGCCGCCGGATGCCCAAGTCGAACGAAAGCCTTCTGATCACTGTGCTGTGGAGGCGGCTATCCCTGTTCAGCCGTCGGGGCTCCTCACGGTCGAACAAGAGGCATTCAGGCCAGAGTCAAAAGCCGGGGAGTCAGTACCCGGAGAAGGCCCAGGAGGGGATCCAGGAGGAGCCAGAGAAGGGGTAACCCCAGCCCTGCTTTCAGTTCGCCCCAGACTCCAGAGAATAAAATTTCTAAGGCAGACCAGTGCAAGCCCTTGTTCCTCTTCCGCCGCCGGCTCTTGGAGCACCAGGCTAGTGCACCACGGGGCCTGCGGGCTCTTTAAGACTCCTCTCCTAAGGTTGGCCCAGCCCGCGGTGCTCAAGGTCCTGCTGCTCAGGGGCGGGGTCACGGTATCAGTCTAGCCAATGGGAGGGTGAGGTCTCTCAATAGGAGGGGCGTGTCTGGTGGTCGCCAAGCTCGGAAAAGCGTGGCGCCGCGCTTTCGTCACCAGGGGCGGGGTTACGTGTGGGTGACGTGGCGGCTTCTAATCTTTGGCTGGCTTTCGGCGGCTTCAGCGCTCGGGGAGGAGGCGGTGACGGCTCAGGAGACTGTGGCATAGGCAGCGGCGGCAGGCGGCATTGAGGTAGGATTCGCTGTAAGAGGGGATCCAGCCCCTGTGTCAGCTCCGGGACAGCAGCTCTCCGGGGGCGGCGACGGGCGGGGGGAGGGGAACTGGGGACGAGCCGGCAAGTCTTGCCGGCCCGGCTCGGGGATGAGCGAATGCCTGACCGTCCAATCAGGAAAGTTCCTCCTGAGAAAGACGTCGATATTAGCTAATCAGTGGTTGCAGTCTACCAGGAGGCGGAACGTGGGCGGGGGTGGGACTTCCTGTTTCAAATAAACACCTAGAGGTTTCCCCCCTCCGCCCACCGAAGCGTGTCCACTTCAGGAAGCCCGTCACTGTTTCCTCCTGAGGAGTTTAAGGAGCCCATGGATACAGGAGGGCCCAGTTAGGGCCTGGGGCAGCTGCACCTGCCGAGCTGGAGCCTCAGGGCCACGGGACCTGGCTCTCGCCTTGCCTCTGCTCAGGGCCCCAGGCCCGCGTTCTGGCCTCCCGAGCCAAGTTGGAAAAAGAGTCTGAGGAGGGGACGACTTGAGCCTGGGGGGAAGCGGGGCCTTCCCGCTGCGGGCCGGCCTTGGGCGCGAAAGTCCGTCCCAGGTGCAGAAAGGGCCCGAGGATTTGCTGGTCGGGGGGAACTTGTGGGGATGGAGGCTGCGTGGGGCATGACACTCTCCCCTCCACAACAGTCCGAGGTTATGCGTCTCAATGATCCCGCGGAAACGCTACGGGTCTAAGAACACGGATCAGGGTGTCTACCTGGGTCTCTCAAAGACACAGGTCCTGTCCCCTGCAACTGCTGGCAGTGGCAGCAGAGACATCGCCCCTCTGCCCCCCCCAGTGGCCCTAGTCCCTCCCCCTCCCGACACCATGTCCTGCCGGGACCGGACCCAGGAGTTCCTGTCTGCCTGCAAGTCCCTGCAGAGCCGTCAGGTAAGGACCTGGAGTAGGAAAGGTGAGAGATGAGCCTTACTCAGTGAGGGAGTGGGCTCCAGCACTGTTAAGTAGTTCTTGGGGGAACCTGCTGGGGGGCTCCTGATCGGGCTTGTGTGGGGCTGTGGAATCTACTGAGTAGCAGAGAAGAGGCAGGTTAGCTAACTGGAGGCAAGGACCTTGACTTTTGTGAGGAACCCCCTGAGGGTAGGGCTGCTGTTCTGGGAGGAATCCCTCAGAGCCAGAGGTGGCTGCACTGTATTTGATTTGGATAAGGCACAGGTTCTAGAAAGAGCCTTTAGCTGGGGGGCATGCACCTTGAATTCTAGTTCCCGCCTAGTTCTAACACAAGTTTGTTTAGTGACCATAAGGAAGTTAACTACAATTTGGACCTCACTTTTTTTTCTATCTTGAGAGTTTTCTAGATCGGTGATTTTTGTCAGAATTACTTTGGAGTGTTGTTTTAAAAGTAAATTTTTTTGTCTCAGTCCAGATTTCTAAATCTGAGTGGGATCTGAGTAACTGTATTTTTAAGTATTTCTCATCTTTAGCTGTTATTAATAATATGCTCTTCTATATGATCTCTAAACTTCCTAGTTATACTTTTCTTCCCTGATTCTAAGAACAGAATGATAATACTAGCTACCATTTATCTAGTGTTAATAGTATACCCAGTATTTGCTCAAAGTACTTTGCAGCTCCTATGTCATTTAATCTTAGCAACAGCAGTAGGAGGTATAGGAAGTAGGTGAATTGTTTTCGTTTTCGAGAAGAGGAAAATAGAGACTCAGAATGGTTTGAGTGACTTGCCCAAAGTCCCTCAGCTAGTAAGTGGTAGAGTCAAGTTTTGAATCCAGATCTACTTGTCTTTATTCTGAGCTCTTAAACTACTACTGCTGATCAATCTAGGTCATCCATTAAGGACCTCATTACTAGAAAGAGTTTAGTGGGCACCTGAGGAGCAGTGAAGTCTGGAAGTGATGAGGGAAGAGCTCAGGTTGTCACCTCCTGACATTGCTTTTCAGAATGGAATCCAAGCAAACAAGCCGGCTCTGCATGCTGTCCGGCAGCGCAGTGAATTCACCCTCATGGCCAAGTGAGTTGAGAGAAGCTGTGTGGTGGAGTACTGTCGTGTCTGAGAAGTGGGTTTACCTTTGATAGCCTTGACTGTGAGGACTGGGATTGGTTGTGCTGGAGCTGATGCAGGAATACACACTGTCCTGCGCTTTCTCATAGTGTTCTCACTAATGTTTATTTGCAGGCGCATTGGGAAAGATCTCAGCAACACATTTGCCAAGCTGGAGAAGCTAACAATCTGTAAGTGTTCTGGGGGTCTTTCTGTGGTGGGGCAATGAACTAAAAAGGTGAGGAACCTTACTCCCTAAGTCCTGTTTCTGACCTCACCTGTCGTGCCTTCTCATTTGTCTCTACAGTGGCAAAGCGCAAGTCCCTCTTTGATGATAAAGCTGTAGAAATCGAGGAGCTAACATATATCATCAAACAGGTGAGCTACTAGCCATCAGTCAGATCACTTCCATCACTTTCCATTGCCGTGGAAGCCTAGAGCAAGTTTTTAGAGCCAGCCCCAAGCATCCTCCTCATCCACTGAGACAGTAAATACTTCTGGATTACCTACCAGGTACAAAGAAGTGTACGGGGCACGGGTGACACAAACATGAGACAAGGTTCCTTATTCCTTATTCCGGCTTATTGTCTAGAAGAGGTATCTAGCCCCACAAACCCATACTTACAGTTAGTAGGAGGCAAGTGGTACAGAAAAGAGTTTACAGAAAGATGAGTGAAACACCTTGGGAATGCTGGGAAGGATTTTATAGTGGAAATGAAATTCAGATTGGTTTCAAGTCTTGTGTAGCGGCAGTGAAAAGACATTTCAGACAGAGAAAACAGTGTATACAGAACCATGGCTTAAAAAGAGAAAGTTCAAGAATAAGACTTATCTTCCAGTCTTTGCTCAGATGTCACCTTCTCAGGAAGGCCTGCCCCTTATCATGCTGCTTAATACTCCAGTGCCCCAAACTTTGACTCCCTTGCCCTGCTGTGTTTTCTTTTTCCATTCTAACAGTCTCTCTATAATTACCTTACTTATTATGTTTATTGTTTATCATTTGCTTCTGTTCCCTCCCGCTTAACTGCACCCAACAAAGAAATTAAAAACATAAGCGCCATAAGGACAAGGATTTTCTTTCCTGCTTTTTTAGAGACCTAACCTAAGCATCTGTATAACAGTGTCTAACATATAGAATGAAAATTCAGAATACTTAATTGTGCTCACGTGGAACCTGTACATAGACCAAGAGGCAGTTGTTCAAACAGAGTAAGAGGATACTGTGTGGTTTAAAATCAGGAAAGGTATGTGTCAGGGTTGTATCCTTCCACCATACTTACTCAGTCTGTATGCTGAGCAAATATCCAGAGAAGCTGGACTATATGCTGAAGAATATGGCATCAGGATTGGAGAAAGACTCATAAACAACCTGTGATGTGCAGATGATACAATCTTCCTTGTTAAAAATTAAGAAAACTTGAAGCACTTACTGATGAAGATGAAAGACTACAGCCTTCAATATGGATTACATCTCAACATAAACAAAAATTCTCACAACTGGACCAATAAGCAACATCATGATAAATGAAGAAAAGATTGATGTTGTCAAGGATCTCATTTTACTTGGATCCACAGTCAACACCCATGGAAGCAGCAGTCAAGAAATCAAACGACATACTGTTGCATTGGGCAAAGCTGCTGCAAAAGATCTCTTTAAAGTGTTAAAAAGCAAAGATGTCTTTCGAGAAATAAGGTGCACCTGACCCAAGCCATGGTATTTTCAGTTGCCTCATACGCATGCGAAAGCTCAACAATGAATAAGGACGATCAATGAAGAATTGATGCCTTTGAATTATGGTGTCGGTGAAGAATATTGAATCTACCATGAACTGCCAGAAGAACGAACAAATCTGTCTTGGAAGCAATATAGCCAGAATGCTCCTTAGAACGGAGGATGGCAAGACTTCGTGTCATGCACTTTGGACGTGTTATCAGGAGGGACCAGTCTCTGGAAAAGGACGTCATGCTTGGTAGAAGGTCAGGGAAAAGAGGAAGAGTGAGATGGCTTGACAACAATTGTGAGGATGGTGCAGGACCAGGCAGTGTTTCGTTCTGTTGTACATAAGGTTGCTATGAGTTGGAAAGAACTTGATGAAACCTGACAACAACATATGGAAGACGGTATCTGTTGAGTCATTGTCAGGAGATGAGGCTGGAAAAGTAGGTTGAAGGCTGGTTATGAAGAGCATTGTGGGCCTTGCTGAGGAGTGTGTAATCACCCTGAATGTCATGGGCTACAAAGGGAGTCTTTTTAGGAGGAGTGTGTGACCTGGAACATGGATGGGGCGGAGAGGCCAGGCAGGAGGCTGCTATGATTGTCCAGTACAAAGATGATTATGGCAGAGGCCCAAGGGTAGACCCATTCAGGAGGTGCTGAGCTAGTAGAAGAGGGCTCCCTTAATGCTTGAGGCATTATTGCATAGGAATATAAGGACCAGCCCACTGGATTCAGACAGACCTGAGTTCAAATTCCATAAGGTGTGACCTTGGTTAAGCTAGCTAACTACTCTAAGCTAAAAAGAGGGTAATAGTAGTACCTACGTAATAGGGCTGTTGTGAAGATTTATTTATTTTTTCAATCCGTCACATAATTGAGTGCCTTTTGGCTGCCTGGTGCTGGGGATTCAGCAGTGAACAAGATAGACGTGGTCCTTGCCCTGAAGGAACTTTATGATTTGGTGAAATAGATACTATTCAAGTAAACAGAAAACACAATTTTAGATAGTAATAAATTCTGTGGGAGAGGGAAGCAAAGGTTAGTTACTTGGAGTAGGCCCTACTTTAGATGGGATGGTTTAGGATGACCTAGCTCAAGAAATGACATCTGAGACCTGATTGGGAGTGGGAGATACATTAGTCTGGCATAGGAAGCCTGACGGTGATACTAACTCATCATGGGTCACCTCGGGCAAGTCACAGGTTTTACCCTTTTGCAGTAATAACTTTTTAAAGGAATCCTACGTAGAAAAAGCATTTTGTCGATGTCTTTGCGAAAGCATAGAAAATAGTAGACACTCTTCCCTTTTTCTGGGTAGGGCCTAGGTGCTTTGTTGGTCAACATGTTCTGGGTCCAAGACTGGCCTTCAAGAAATTGTTTGGCCATGAGCATGGCCTCACAGTGTGGGAGTAAACAAGTCGGTCATTTATAAGTAAATGAGGCCATATTTCGCCTCTTTCTGGCTCTTCTCTGCAGGGACTGAGCTAGAGCAAACTCCAGAGGATTCTAGTTGGGAAATCCCAACAGGCCCTCTGGTCTGATGGAAATACCCCAACTCCTGCTGGTAACTTCCACCCTACCTTCCCTGCCAGAGATGTCCATGTGGAGAGATGATGGCTGAGGACGCTCTGGTTGATACTCAGTTTTTTTATTGTCTCTTTTACCAGGACATCAATAGCCTTAACAAACAAATCGCCCAGCTTCAGGATTTTGTGAGGGCCAAGGGCAGCCAGAGTGGCCGGCACTTGCAGACCCATTCCAACACCATCGTGGTCTCCTTGCAGGTGAGACCTGAGGGGAGGAGTGAGGGAGGCAGAGGGGAGGAAGGTGTTCTTTTCTCTAGCTGACCTTTTCTCCTTTTCTTCTAGTCCAAATTGGCCTCCATGTCCAATGACTTCAAATCGGTTTTAGAAGTGAGGACAGAGGTGAGAAAAATCTATGAGGAGGGGTGGGAATCTGGGGGTAGGGGCCCAAGAGGGAAATGGGAAGGAGAGCCTATGGAAGAGTGAGGGCAACAGGATCATGGGGCCAACAGGAAGTATCTCGTTAACATGGCAGCTTTCCAGAGGCCTCAGTACCTTTTGCATTTCTTCCCCAACCCTAGAACCTGAAGCAGCAGAAGAGCCGGCGGGAACAGTTCTCCCGTGCACCCGTGTCAGCCCTGCCCCTTGCCCCGAACCACCTGGGTAAGTCACAGGCAATAGGGGAAGCCCTGAGGGGGTAAAGCCTAGTTAGTTATTCTGGTTGTGATGGCATTTTCTAAGGCAGGTGTTGGTAGGCGAATGGAGAAGCAAGGAAGTTGCTGAGTCCCTGCAGCGTAGACTTTTGGACTCATTAGGCTTTATCTCAGAGTCAAACATGATTGCTGGGATTTGTGATCCATACTTCGTCTCCCACATTCTCACCTTTGGGAGTGAACTTCGTGATTTTCCAGAAGAATGATACCAAAACCAAAAATTAAACCCACTGCTGTTGAGTCTATTTTGACTCAATAGCGACACTATAGGACAGAGTAGAACTGCCCCATAGACTTTTTAAGGCTGTAAATCTTTACAGAAGCAGACTGCCACATCTTTCTCCCACAGAGCGGCTGGTGAGTTTGAACTGCCAACCTTTCAGTTAGCAGCTGAGTTGCTTAATCTCTTGCCACCACCTTAGAAGAATGATAGTATCTACTATTTTTTGTATGCTTACTCACTTTATTCACATTCTCTCGTTTGATTTTCACAACCACCCTTTGAGAAAGCAACTGTTATCATCCCCATTTTACAGCTGAGGAAGCCGAGGCTCAGAGAGGTTAAATGACTTGTCCAAGGTCACAATGCTAGTAAGCGGTAGAGCTGGGATTCAAATCCAGAGCATGTGAGCTTTGAACCTGCTTTTAACCACTAAGATGTACCCTGTCTTCTTTCCTCCCTCCAGGGGGTGGTGCTGTGGTTTTGGGGGCGGAGTCCTGTGCCTCTGGGGATGTGGCCATCAACATGATAGACTCTCGGACCAGCCAGCAGCTGCAGCTCATTGATGAGCAGGTACCCAGGCTCCACAGCTGAGGAAGAGTTGGTTGTTCGTCTTTCCCAAAAGGAGGGTGGCAGCTCCTCTTTCCTCCTCTGTGGTCCACAAGCGAGTGTTTGAAGTGTGCCATGGGCAGAATGGCAAGCTGGGAGGGTCCTGATGACCCAGGCCCTACACTAGAAAAGCTCACAGTGCTCTTGTGCTCTCTCCCTCTTCTGAAGGATTCCTACATCCAGAGCCGAGCAGACACCATGCAGAACATTGAGTCCACAATTGTTGAGCTGGGCTCCATCTTTCAGCAGTTGGCACACATGGTTAAGGAACAGGAGGAAACCATTCAGAGGTGAGACGCTCCCTCACTCCAGACAGAGGAGCCCTCTTTTCCTTGTGGCTTGGCATCCTTAAGGTCCCCAGGAGCAGCTTCACCTGCTACATCCACTCAACAAGTTTTTATTGAGCACCTGCTCCATGTCAGGCACTGTCGTAGGTGCTGGGGATACAGCAGTGAATAGAACAGTAAAGTGTCTACTTCGTATGCTCTCTTTGTAGTATATGTACGCAGCTGGGTAGGGCGGGAGGAACAGCCGTTAAAAAAGAATTGACGAGAAAATTTCCGATAGTAATAAGGGCTGCTCATAGAATGAAAGGAGGATGGCATATTAAGAAAGTGCTTAAGTAGGTTCATTGGATTTGGCGTCAGGGAAAGCCACACTGAAGAAGACATGACATTTAAGCAGAGACCTGAATGACAAGAGGGATCCAACCATGTGAAGAGAGAAAGAGTATTCTAGGCAGTAGGGACAGCCAGAGCAGAGGCCTAAGGTGGGACAGTCTTGCTGTATTCAAGAATGAAGAAGGCCATTGTGGCTAGAAAATAGTGAACAGGACTAGAGAGATACAGGACGAGACTGGTAGAGGGAGGTGGGCAGGGGCCAGGGCATGTAAGACTTTGGAACCAGGTAAGTGAGGGCATCTGTCCCACCAGTGGGAAGGCCTCACTCCTCTGGAGCCCCCTGTTACTCCAAGAGGCATTTTTATCTGGTCCTCTTTTCTAGCACTTAGCTTTCTTAACAGTCAGTTATGAGGATACAGCCATGAATGAAAGAGACAGAGATCCATACCCTTGTGGAACTTACATTTTAGTAGGGGGAACAGATAATTTAAAATAAGCATAATGAGTAAGTTATTTAGTATATTAAAAATGATAAATGACAAAGTAATAAATGTAAAAAAAAAAAAAGTGATAAATGCTATAAGTAAAAGTAGAGTGTGATAATCTAACTAGGAATACCAGGTTTAGAAGGACAAGTTGTAATTTTAAATAGTATGGTGGAAAAGGGTAATGGTAATAGCGTCAGAACCTCAGGGGGATAAAGGAAATCAAGACCAGGCTAAGGCTGATGCCTGTGAGGTGGAAGTCAGGCATGCCTTCACTCTCCTACCTTTTTACCAATTCTGATATCAGCTGTTCCTCCCACAGCACACTCTACTTCTCTCTGGGTTCAGTAATTCATTGCAGTGGCCACACAGAACTCACAGACCCTACTTACTGTTAAGGATCAACAGGCTACAACTCAAGATCAGCATCAGGAAGCATATAGGCAAAGTCTCCCTTCTTCAGTGCAGGCCTCCTCTCAGTTCCTCTCAGCCCCTGTACAAGTAACTTTAAATATAAGAATCAGCACAAAGCCAATTCCAGACTTCTACAGTCTCTAAGTGGCTGTACCACTCCATCTCCAACACCAGCCACTGTCGCACCCCTCAGCACTCTTCCCTCTGTCGTTTGGGTTCAGCAGTTGGCCGCAGTGTCTCAGAAGTCACGAACTTTTACTTACAGTTAAGGGGTTTATTAAGGAACAGGTTACAACTCGAAAGCAGGATCAGGAAGCATGTAGGCAAATCTCCCTTCTTCAGTGCAAGATAGCTCTCTCAGCTCCTCTTGGCTGTGCAGGCCTCCTCTCATCCCCCTGAGGACAGTCTACTCTTGGCCCTGCTGTCCGTCACCATGGACTGCCACTGGGCCCCTTCCAAGCTGTCTTCAGTGTTACAGCCCTTGACTCGTGTTACAGCTCTTTTGGGAGTTTCCTTGTCTTCTCTCCTTCTGTTTCTCTCTTTTCTTTCTGTTTCTGTGTGTTTCATGTCTCCCTGCTTTCTGTCTGAAAAACCTCTGGGACTGGCTGCACGTGTACACAATTCCTTGTCAATTTCAAGGTACCACCCTTGGTGTGGGGAGGGTCACAGATCGACCAACCCACTCTCAGTAGGCCATAGATACTTATTTGCATAGTCTGTTGACCAGTCCCTGCAAGGTGCATACCAATCACAGGGCAAGCTGTAGTCCAGGACCAGATGAAAAGTATCAAACCACAAATTGTGTACAGCTTACCGAGGAAATGTCAGTCAACCTTGACAAAAGTAACAAACCCTCTGGGGTCGAAAACTAGGGCAAAGGTAACTCCTTAGGGCAATAATCTCTCAAGCTGTTTTTATGAAGAACCAAGGCAAAAGGCCACATAAAGGAACTCGTTTCACCACGGATGGTTAAGGTAGGCCCTAGTAAGGTGGCATCTGACCAAGACTTTGGGAAAGGTAAGGAAGTTAGCCCTGTAGATATCTAGAGAAAAAAAATACTAGGCAAAGGAAAGAACCAGTGTAAGTGGCTTAAGATAGGAATGTATCTGATGAGTTCAAGGACAGCAAAGAGGCCACTCTGGCTGGGGATAAGCAGAGGTGAGGGGAAGTGTAGTATAAGGTGAGGTCTCAGGAAATGAAGGACCAGATATGTGGGGCATTTTAAGGCCATTTTGAGGTACTGACTTTTATTGAGTGACATGGGGAGCTATTGCAGGGTATTGTCCAAAGGGTGACATGCTCTGACTTCCGTTTTAAAAAGGTCAGTCTGGTTGCTACATTAAGCACAGATTGTGGGGGCTAGGATAGATCATTGCAGAGGCCTTTGCAGTAACGTAGGCAAGAGGTGGTGGTGGCTGCAACTAATGTGGTAGCAGTGGGATTCTGGATATATTTTGAAGGTAGAGCCAAGAGCATCAGTTAATTGACGAGCTAGGTATATAGGGTGTGCGAGAAAAACAGAAGTTCATAACCCCAGGCTTTTGATGTGAGCAACTGAAAGGATCTGCGGCCTTCACTGGAAATAGGGATGGCTACTTGGGTAGAGTTGATCTGGGGGCAAATAAATTTATTGTTGGACACATTGTCCATCAAAAGGTAGTTTGTTGTCAGATGTCTAAGTGGAGATGTTGAACAGGCAGGTGGATATACGGAGTTTAAGAGACAGGTCTGAGCTGGAGATACAAATGTGGGTGGAATTGTACTTTGAGACTGGGTGTTTTAGTTATCTAGTATTGCTGTTATACAAATACCGTAAATGGGTGACTTTAAAGAACAGAAATTTATTTTATTTTTTGGAGACTAAAAGTCCAAATTAGGGTCTTGACAGTATAGATTCCTTCTTTGTGGTAGCCCCCAGGTATTCCTGGGTTACTTGGCTTGTAGATGGTCCTCACATGGGGTCTGGTCTGTGCATGTGTGTCTCAATGTCTATGCTGCTTTTTATATAACTCAGAAGTGATTAGGTTTAGGATGTATGACCTCGATTGATTAGATTTAATTAGATTATATTATGGAAGGCCATTATATTACACGTAAGGTAATTGTATCGCATTAGATTATCTCCACAGGTATAGAGGTTAGGATTCCAATATTTATTTTGTGGGGACACAATTTAATCCATAGCACTGGGTAAGGGAGTGAGTATAAAGAAGATCAAGCACTGAGTTGTGGGGCAATTTTTGGACTGAAGCCTCAGTCTTGGGAGGAAACTGAGAAGGAGCACAGCTGGTGGGGTAGAAGAAAACACAAATGAGTGGGGGGTCCTAGGATCAGGGCTTCAAACTGGTTTGAGGCGATTCAGTCATGGCCAACAAAGTGAAATCAGAACAGACCCAAATTTTTAAAATGTGAGGTAAGTGGAACGATAAGCTGAACAGGAAAAATTATGGGCAAAGCCCTGCTAGAAACGTAGTCTTCCTCTTAGAAAATGAGGGCAGCATGTGCGTTGCATAGCAACCAAATCTCTTGACCAACAGAGTTGGAAACAGCCGTGCCCCACTCAAAGATGGTGCCGCTTGCCATGCTGCTTCCAATATGTGTCGCTCTCCACAGGCCTGGTAATAATCCAGTCTCCTGCATCAGGCTTCTGATAGGGTTCACAATGCCTCTTCTGAGTCTCCTCTTCCTGGACTTTGAGCTGTAAGTTTTCTTGTTCTGCTTAATCTTTCCACTTCACCCACATTTTAAAAATTTGAGTCCATTCACCATTCGAGTTTTGCTTTCTTGGCTGTGACTGAACTAGGCTGAACCAGTTTGAAGCCCTGCCTAGAAGCCAAGAGAAGAAAATGAGTCAAGAAAAGATTGATCAGCTGTGATACATTTTGCTGATAGGCCAAATTTGAGAATTTGGGTATGTTTAGTTCGTTAACATTTCATGTAATTGTTGATAAGGTTGGGCTTAGGTATACCATTTTAATACTTGTTTTCTGTTTGTCCCTTCTCTGTTTTTTGTTTCTGTGTTCCTCCTTTCCTATCTTCTTTTGAACTAATTGAAAGAAATTTTTTGAATTCCGTTTATCTGTTGGTATTTTAACTATATATCATTACGCGTTTTTTTTGTGTGTGTGGTTGTTCTAGAGGTTACAATATGCATCATTAACTTCCACAGTCTACTTAAAGTTAAGATTGTACCACTGCATATAAAATGGAAGTCTTCAGTCCTCTCCTCCGTCCTTTATAGTTGTCATATTTGTTACATCTACATACTTTATAAATCCCACAATACAATATTATAATTTTTTCAGATTTTAAAACTTTTTTGTGCATTTCAATAATTGAAATCATTTGAACAACAGAAAGATGACACTCTTAAAATGCATTTTATAGCTTGCAGTTTTGCTTTTGCTCTGTATAGTCACTGTCCCACTCAGCTTTTTCTTTCACCAACTTGTAAGTTCTTTTTCTTCTCTGCCAGCCAGACAGGCCGATGGGAGCAACGTGGCCTTTGTTATTAGTAGTTCTTGATTCTTTGATGTGAAAAGAGGCAGCACAGTCATTTAAACTTGATCCATCCTCTTTGCATCTTACAAAGTTAAACAGCTAAAAGTAGTAAAATAAGAAGGCAACGTTTGTAGAATCAGCAGTGCATATTGGTGACACCTGCCTCATTACAAGTTGCCCGCTTCTCGTGTTCGATCGTTTATTTTGAAGGCAGGGAATTTTTCCCTTGCATTTCTGTCTTCTTCCATTTCACTATATCAAATTTCTCAA